CAGCACCTCTCATAGGCCTTATGTGTCTGTTGAGGATTTTAGGTGTCTCAAGGGCATCTGGTGTGTGTGGCCACATTTAATCTAGAAAGTACTGTGCCTCAGGTATTAAAATTTGTGGAAGTGTTCTGCTGTCTCATTGCCTTTAAAAGAGCTTTCCATGCCCTGTCCATGCCATGCCTGGACTCAGGAGTGTATTTTCTCACCAAGGGATCAGATTCAGCTTACAGGCAGGAAACTAAGTCAGGAAGCTTTCTGAGAGATTAACAAATTGAACTGGCTCACTGAGGGGCCAAGTAAGTAGCAGAGCGAGTAAAAGGAATGGCCAGGACCACATAACCACGAGTACTTGGTGGCAGGGACGGGGTGAAGAGCAGTGATGCCAAGCCCTTGATGAAAGGGAAATGTCAGATCAGCTCAGAGCCCCTGTGAAAGCTGTCGCTGGCATATGAGTCTGGGTGGTTTTGAATGGTGACCCCCAATCTGATGCAGTCACTTTCTTTCACAGCAGATGTATAAACCCAACACAGTAGGCAGGAATGAGGACGCACTTTTCTGCTTGCCATCTCTTATTAGCTCTCTAATGCAAGTCTAATGACAGGCAAATTTCATTTTAAGTGCCTAACTCTGTCATTTGATGTTCCTGTTGGTCTTGGATCCTCGCTCCAACCCAAAATGTGTTCTTTGATCCTGTTTTGGTTTGGCTTTTGTGCTCCCACATCTGTGATGTAATCCAACCAAAAACTTCTTTCATGGGATATTTTCAGTCCAATCAGTTTCCCAACTTGGCTGACCGTGCAGTTGCATAATCTCTGATTTTTAACTCAGTGGAGGTGGTAGGACTGTTCCTTTCAGTGGATGTGTAAAGTCACCTTGGGTAGACTGTGAAATCACAAACTACAGCTCTCTGAGTTATGCAGGAAGCTTAAAACTCCTTTTCATCACTGTGGATTCAACTTCAAGCTCTCTTCATTCAGCCTTCTGTGAGTCTGACTGCAGAAAGCAAGTTGCTAATGCAAACTAAACAGCAGGATCTCAGATCTGGAGTGCTCCCAACTGTTTGCTTCTAAAATCACCTTAATGGTCTTGGGGATCTGCACATGCCCTTAGAGTGGTAAGATACACCCTTGCCATTTGTATCCTTCTAAAAGAACAATTCAGGGTCCTTTATGTGTCACTTTTCAAGATATTGGGAACTTAAAATTACATTGCATTTACCAAGAGAAACTGGATTTAATAAAGACAATTAGAAAACAGTACAAATAGGAAGAGAATGAAAAACTACATTCCCCAGAACTTGTTAGGAAAGGTTTTCTATATCTGGGGACAACCAGACACTTCTGCCAAGGACTTCTGAGCTGCAGCACATTTCAGGAACTTGCTGTTTGAGCTGGAGTTCTTTATCATGTTCCTTATTTTTCTTTACAGTTTTAATCAAAGAGTTTTCAAGACTGTATCATATTGCTATCTTTATATTTGTTACAGTTTGTTCCTACTCCATAATGATTTTAGAAAAACCTGTCCATATATTCACTGGTAATGAGGAAAGCTGGTTTTTTCCTTCCCTCATCCTTCCCTCTGTCTACACAGAGAGTAACAGTGACGCCTTTTGCTCATTAGCAAAAAAGCCTTTCCGGATCTTTGCAAGAATCAATGACTGTCAGCGTCACTGCAAATGGAGAGTAATTAGACTTAGGAAATGAAGGATTAGATGTGGGCTCCAGCTGTAAATTATTGATTTTTTAAAAAATTATTTTTACTAATATACAGTTCTGTCAGTGCTGTGGTATAACTTGGAACAGGTAACTTCTACAAGTGGATAGGGAAGCATAGTTACTTGAAGAAAAGGAGCCCTATTTCTTTAACAGTAGCAAATCCAAGCAAGCAATCCTCAGGTAGTTTTTCATGAAGTCTCAATTTTTTTCCCCCCCAAAATGTAGATAATGTCAATATGTTGCTGCTTATCAGAACTGACTGAAATACTTTCCTTAAGCAAAAATTCTACTTTTTGAAGTATGCTGGGAAAAGGTTCAGCATTTTGTGTATGTGTGGATAAAGATCTGGTCATATAAGTGTGAGAATCAGTGGGATTCCATAAAAAACCCTCATACAGACCGGCATTTGCCTGGCCAGACCGCATGAGGGAGCCGGGCAGCGTTTAAAGCAGGACAGGGCCCCACTTCTCTGCCCCAGAGCCGCTCCGGATGAGCGCCAGTGTGAGACCTGGTGTGCTCCACGATGAAACAGTCACATAGAAAGGGCTTGCCTACTGTATGAATGATTTGTTCTCTCCACGGTCCAAGAGTTACAACTGAAAACACACAAAAAAATAAACAAAGCCGGGAAAAAACCCACAAGCATTTTAATGTTTTTGTTACAACCTTTGTGTTCTTTAGAACAGTTTCTGTATGCATACACAAACATATTTTACTCCTGCTGCTATTAAAACCTCTATGTTATAGCTACTTACCAGACAGAGTGACCTTAAAAACAAACCCATTTTTATCCTGTAGCATTTTGCAACCATTTTATTTTGCTTCGTTTCTTACCAGATGAGCCATTGAGTCAATGGTAATGTTCACTCCTTTAGAAATCCTGTGCCTGCCTCCTTGTTATTTCAGATTGGTGGGGTCTGTAATAAATTGTGTCTATACACATGACTGCAATGTCCAGAAAACTGGCACAATAGAAAAATTTGAACTGAACTGGTTCAATATGCACAATCACTTTTTTAGTAATACTGCTTTCCCTGCTTTTAGTAAATCAAATATAAAGATATAACTACTAAAAGGTGGCATGAATAGAACTTAAAAATGCTTCCCATAAGCTTGACTAAAATAACTGTTTAGTATCCCTTTAAAATAAGCAGAACTCAAGTAATGCCTCTGGTAGTTACTAGGATGGAAAAGGTACTGGCTATTTCTGGTGGTGGTGATTACTGCTCTCCTGGCAGAACAGGGATGCTCTGCTGCAGTGGTGAATGTGTATCCTGGAACTCACTCATCTCTAGCACAGTGCCACAGTTTGCCACCCTCCTCATGTTTGCATTTTGACAGGGTGGAGGCAGAGGGGGTCTCAAAGTTTTGCCTTGGTTAAAGTGCCTTACTTTGAGTCTGTGGTAAGAGGTGTAGCCCTTAGCACACAGCCAGAGAGGGATATTTTTGGCACATGACATGAAAAGCAACATCCCATGGAAACCAAGAATGTCATTCTACATCCCTCCAAGCCTAAAGCAGAGAACTTATATAAAGATGATGAAATTTTGGATGTGAAGGCCTAACAGCAACAAGTTGACCAAATTATACTGAGACTACCTAATTAGGATTAGTCTTTAAATTAGATTCCTCAGACAAGCACAAACTAAGAATGGTATCCTGGTAATCTGACTTGTGCAGTGCAACAAATCCAGTTGCAGAATCTGGTCCTAATGCTTCCGCCCACCCCCTCTCCTTCCCAGCAGTTAAATACTGCACAGTCCTTTACTCACAGGCTGTTTCTGTAACAGGCACAGCTTAAATATCTGTGTACCTAATGGACTTATCCTTAACACCACAGTGAGGGAGGCGGCATTAACCTCATTTTGCAGATAAACAATGGAAGCCCTCATGGCTTCCCTGCATTACATCCTATGGAGCAACTGCGTGTATGCAGCGAGTGTAAAATGCTGTTACACGAGACTGAGGTATTGGCACCCAGACTGACAGAGCTTTGGCACATCCTCTGTTCCTTCTTTGCACAGCCACGTACCACTAAGGAGACAGAGCGAGTTCAGAATATGGGTAAGTTAACACTGACTGCTCTGCTCAGCCTGGGAAGATGTGGAGACTCGAACAGAGCTGGACTGTTCAGCAGTGGGTAACCTCACTGCTCAGACCTCAGGTGCTGTCTCACCACAGTGCAGGATGGATGCTCCAGGGGCCTGAGCAAAACCTGGTTGACTGATGTATGAGAATTATTTTTTTATTATTATTCTTTTCTACTGTAAGATGGGAAATAATTTCTGAGAGTTTTGCCTGAACAGAAGGGGGCAATATTTATTTTTTTTTTTGGAATAAATACGAAAAACTGGTTTTTAAACATTTGTAATGGAAAGTAATCAAATGGTAACGTGTACTGTGTCAGGAACTAGTTTTTCACAAGAGAACGGCACATACCTTTAACACCCTGGAAACTCTTAGTTTAACCATTGTTGTAGCTATTCACACCGACGCCGGCTGGCTCTCGCCGGAGAGACCTGCAGCCCTGCGCTCTCCTGCGCTGCACTTTGCTTTGTGACCCGGCGCCTCCTGAACAATGCGCGGGGGCAGTTTCGAAACTTCTCAGGGAGTGCACCCAGCGCGGGCGGCGGCACCAGGAAACGGGATACAGGCGCTGCTGCCTTATGTAAGCGAACCGAGCCCGGGCCAGGCCGTAAGCGAGGGCTGTGGCCGCCGCCTCCGCCCGTCCGTCCGTCCGTGCGCTCCCCGGGACCGCGGAGCCCTCCCTCCCCCGTGAGGGGCCGCTCGTCAGGGGGCCGTGAGGGGCCGGGCGCGCGCGGCGGCTGCCAACGGTCCCTCTCCCCGCGCGCGCGCGCGCGCGCGACACGTCACGGGCGGCTCGGAGCGGGCGGGGCCGGGGCCGCTTTCCCCAGGGCCGTCACGTGACCCGTGCCCCCCTCGGCCCTGCGGTCCGGCGGCGGGGGGCGCGGGGCGGAGGAGAGCGGGGCGGAGGAGAGCGGGGCGGCCGCGACGGGAGGGCAGCGCGGCGGGCGAGGGTGAGCAGCGCTCCGGTGACGGCGGCGCGGGGGAGGGGCGGTCCGGCGGGGCAGGCTCGGGAGGCGGCGGCGGCGGCGGCAGCGGCTGGTGGAAACATGGTGCCACACGTGAGGCTTATGTAAAGTGAGCGGCGGGCGGTGCGGCCAATGGGAGCGCGGCGCGCCCCGCCCCCGCCCGCGCGCCCCTGTCGCGTCACACGCGCGCGGCCAATCGGGGCGCGGGCGGGGCGGGCGCGCGGTGGCCGGTCACGTTTTTGCCCGTATGAAGCCCGAGCCGGGACGCGCCGGGGCCGCGGGACGCGCTGTGTGCGGTGAGTCGGGGCCTGCCGGGCGCGCTCCCTGCGGGGACCGGGAGCCTGCAGGGGGCGGCGGGAGGGGGCGGTGGGCGCGGGGGGCACTGGGGTTCCCCTCCTCCCGCCGCCCTCCGGGCCGAGGTTATATAACCCCCGCGCTGGGGCTCTCCCGTTGCCGGGCCGATGGGCGGGCGGGTCGCCTCTTGTCCCGCGGGGTCCGTGGCGCCGCCACTCCCGGCCCCCCGTGGATGGGGTGCGGGGTGCGTGGGGCTCCCTCTCAGCCGAGCGAGGGGCGGCTGTGACACGCCCCCCCCCCATCCCCCGGGCGGCAGCGAGGGAAGCGGCCGCCAGCTGTGAGTCCCTGGCTGGAGCGGGTGCGGGGCTGAGCGCGGCGCGGCCCCCACCCGCCTCGCACCGGGAGGGCGGCCGGGAGCGGGGGGCACGGGCACACCCACACTCGGCTGGCGCTGGGACGGGAGCTGCGCGCTCCCAGGGGCGCCCTGGCGGGGTCAGGCTGGGAGGGCGAGGTGATGGCAGTGTCCCCCGCCTGTGTCCGGCCCGGGGCAGAGAAGGGGGTGGCGGAGCCGGTCCCAGTCCCCCGGCGGGGCTCCACTCTGGCGTCCCTGGCGGCCGTGTGTGTGCGGGAGGGCACGGCGGGGGCGCGGAGGGCACCGCCGGCACCTCGCGTGTCTCGGTGCAGGGAGCAGCACCCCCGCTACGGGGCCGTGCCCGCCAGCCCGGTGGGATGTTTCACCTGAGGAACTGTGTTACTCAGAGCCACAGTCTCAGCATTACTGACGTGCGTGAGGTGCAGGTAGAGTGGGCAACAGGTGCTGTCTGCTGTTTGTTTTTTTGTGCTGCCTGTGGTTGTGAGGACACTTTTTTCCTTGAGACGGTGTGGTTGTGCCTGCTGCTTACATTAGTTGCATGCTATTACATGCATGATTACAAAACAGTTTATGTAAGTACAATTTTATGCAAATAGATGAGCAATATGTTAACTGTCAAGCTGACACTACGTCTGACGTTCTGTAATAGGTCGGGATAGGGTAGAGGAGTTTCAGTGTACCACAGGAGCTTAAAAAGCTCACTAAGATGTCAGTAGGAAGTCTCTGGTACTTGGAAACTGTAGCGCTTTGCAAGTCTGTGCCAGTGAAACAGTAACTTGACAGTGCATTGAAGGATTTTGAAGAAACAAAATCATGAAGGTTGGAAGAGACCTCTAAGATGGAGTCCAACTGTTTCAACCTTATGTCCAATCTAAATCTACCATCTTGCAGTTTCAAATCACTGCCCCTCACCCTGTCACTGCAGGCCCTGATAAGAACCATTTCAAGTTGCCAGTATTGTTTCAACCACAGTTTGATTGGTGTAAGGGAGAGTGCCCACATTGTTGCACTGTAACATCAAGTTCCCTCTTGCTTATGCTTGCATGTGTTTGCATGCTTTTGGGATCTTTCTTTTTTCCCTTTGTTGCTGAAACTTGCATTATTTCTGCAAAGTGAGGCAGTTTCATTGGAAAACCGGACTGAGTCCTCACTTCCTCCAAAGCTTGCTAAGTCTTGTGATTAGAGCACTGTCCTGAGGTGTGGGGTTCTGATTCTGGACTCTGGAGGTTGCTTACCTCACTCGTAACACATAGAGGAAAGGAGATGACCTTTGACCTGGAGTAGAAGAAAAAAGTAATAGCCTTCAGGTTTTGATGGGGTTTTAGCCATTTCAAGTGTTTATTTCAAGGTAGAACAGCAAATAATTTAGTTGGGTAGTTGTCTTAAGTGTCAAATGCTGTGCAGTGAAAGAGCCTGTCCTGTGAAGAAGTAAAGTGTAGTTTGGCTTGATGTAGTCCAGAAGGTAAAAGCATGGAAAGTGGGTTTTTTGCTTTTGTGCCCTTCTTCAGATTCAGCAAGTTTTCTGGTTTCATTTACAATTCAAAGACTACATGGTTTTGCTGGACTTTTTGTTTATTTGTCAGTTGGTGGGACTTGTTGTAGGCTTCCTCTATTTGCTTTAGCATGTGAATGCTGTCAGTGAAAATCTAAGTAATCTTCATTTTTATATCTTACTCTTATTCCTTTCGGATTTCCACTGAGAGGCATTAAAGAGACAGCATATTGTCATATTACCTTCTCCACTTTTTCTTCCCCTAGTCATAAGATTAAAATATGTAACAACTCAGTTTATCAAGTAAACTTGCTTAAGCCTGTCCCTAAACAATACATTTTTATAGTAATAAGTATTGTGAGTAAACTGAGATGCTGATGGAGCCAAAGTATGAGAATAGAGTGAAATGAGGAAAGTGATTGGCAGTAAAGTTCTGGATGTTTCTTCTACCTCAGACTTTATTATGACCAGGAAGTGTTTGGCTTAGATACAGACTAATAAACCAGTTTTCTTTTTCCTGGGTTCTGGCCACACCCTTATTTCTCTAACATCTTTACAGTATTAGAATATAATTTACTGCAGAAAATCTTCTTTAACTCCTTAAAGTATAAGCACCTTTGCAAATTGCTGTGGGATGAGGTGTATTTGGTGTGGATTAAAAGCAATATGTTACCAGTAGCCAGTAGAACCAGTAAATTATCACTAGTCTACATCAACTGTAGTGTTTTCTATAGGGTTGCTATGGTTGGCCTATGTTAAAAGGGAACATCATGTTCTTAGCAGGGCCTTGTGTAATACTTGGCGTGAGTGTCCTGTAGACACTATATTATACTCATGACGTTACCACATCATAATTACTAGATGATCAGATGTTTCTGAAAAGGAATTTTTGTCTCCAGTTTTGGTTGCATGGCCTAGAATTCCTCTATGAGGTTGGTGGATTACAGAGTTTATTTACTGGATTTCTTGCTGCATTCATATTTTCCACATCCTTTTAATATCCCTGTAGAGCAAGTTTTGAACTGCTTGAGTACTCCTTGTGTTAACTTAGCTTGTCAAGCACTGAACAGCAAAGGGGTCAATTAATACCTGTATCATTCTTTGTGTTATTGTTGCATTACTCTGAAGGGATTTGACTTGCACTTTTGGGTACAGATGAGGTTGAATACAGAAAATGTTGGTCTTGAAAGTAATGCTACTGATGTTCTGTGTAAAAGGTGTCCACTTCCCTGCTTTTAACTGCTGCTTTGAACTTACCCACTGCTGTAGTGGAGGTCAGGCTGTTAACATTGCATGTGTTGGTTGTAAGGCAAACCTTTTACTTGCCAGCCGTTTGTTAGTGAAGAAAAACTCTGCCTTCTGACACTTAGAGGGTTTTTTTGGGGGGGAGAGTGTGGGTGTTTCTTTTTAGTTACAGGCAACATACTTAATTCTGTTAAGTACCTCTAAAGAACATGTGAAAAGAGAAGGAAAAGAGAAGGTAGCAAACTCGTATTTCATAGGCTAATGGTTTTACTATCTGTTGCTGAGATTTCTTGTGGCCCCAGGCTACTTTTGTGAAATGCAGTGTGGCAGGGAACAAAATGAAGAAGGGTCAGATGATTTGGGTATGTCTGCAAAACCTATGGAGAGGCTTTGAAGCTGCTCTCCAGAGCAAGCTCTGTTAATACTGAGGCAGAGCCCTATGTAGTAGGGAGGCACCCGCACACATGGGGATCCACATGCCCGAGCATACAGCAGTGATCCGATGTTCTAAGTGGCTTAGTAGATCACCAGGCACGCTTGTGCAGCCTGCTTGTACTCTGCCTGCCAGCAGTGCTGGAACAAGGGCAGGGCAGACTTCTGTGCTTCTGGTTTGTATTTCTGAGGTTATCCTTTCAGTGCAGAGAGAGTCTCTTTGTCTGAGTGCCCACACTGGACTTGTACTAGTGCAGAATCCTCTCACTTGGTCCTCTCTGCCTGTTGAGGAGTTGCTGAGGGACAGCAGCAATATACTAAGTTTCACGCAAGTTGCGCGTGCAGCAGTTCTGAAGTGTGTGTTTTCCCTGCTTGTCCACGTATGTAAGAGAGGTTATGAGAATTTCTGTGTGAAAGCTATTGTAAGGTCAAGAAATTTTTGTGCAGATGTTTTCAGCTGCTGCTGAAGTAGTGTGTGGTAGTCCTAGAGAAGCCTTCTGATTTCACTGACTTTTTTTGGTAGTCTGATTTAGACAAGTTTGCCTGTAGAAGATGCATAATCATGGAGTATGATTTTCCTTTCTTCGTTTTCTCCCAGTAGAAAGGAAAATTTTATTAGGGGTGCTAATAGGTTAGAAGCCCAACATGCTGTTTCCATGACAAGTGGACTAAAATACAGAGAACATGTTCCTTGGGGCAAGAATTTAAGGTGATTCTACCGATTGTGTGAGCAGGCTGTAGGTGTTTGGTGGAAAAGAGAGCTCATTTGTATGCCAAAATGTTTAGGAAGACTTTAGGTTTGCTTCCACCTGGTTTTGAGTGTACTGTTATAATCCTTAATGCTTGATTTTTTTTCTTATAGATAAAATACTTGGAGATTTCCATGTATAGATGACTTTTCTAAGTAGAAATGGCTTTTTAGAAGTAGATCCAAAGTTACATTGCCTTTCTAACACCCTGTCCTAAAACAGAGGCACTTCACTGTGCCTCTGCAATGACATCTGTAACTTCTCATAATGGAAGCTTAGGGAGACAAGATGAAGAGGTGAGCATGTCCAGTACTTTTCTTTTTTGTTGGTTTTGCTGCCTGTTCTCCTGATTCCTTGCAGCTTTTGTATCTTAGTACAGTTTTTGTGTTTGACCTTATTATGTGTACTTTTACGTTTCTTCTTAGTTTAATTTTACAAAGATCTTCAGTATATAAAGCACTTACTTCATTTCAATTACCTCGCTGGCATAGGTTCTTCTGTGACTTGAGCTCTTACTTCAGTATTAATATGTCCAACTCCTAGGACAAGTACATCACACTTGTTAGGTTGCTGCACTTTTTGGAGTGTATTACTGATGCGATGGGGACTAGAATTTATTTGGCACAGAGTCTTCCAGGATGGTCCTTCCATTCTGACTGAAATCTTTAATAGAGTGTGAACTGCAGAAATGTCTTAACAGCAGCATTGGCCTGGAACTCCTGTAAATGTAATACCCCATGGTGAAACCCTGCCCTCTTCTTTAAGGGAGGGGAGCAGTAGGTATGGAAGTATGCTGCTTAATGAGGATGTGAACAAATACTATAGTTGAAATATGATATTGAGATACTTTTGATCTAGTTTCACCTATAATAGAGGCAAAGTATATGAATACATGGTGGAGTGTGATAATTTTTCCCTCCTTTCTCTGACAACACTTGACAATCTCAAACGTATCATTTTTGTTATTTTTTTTTTTCCAAAGAGGACAAAAGTTGGCATGTGCAGGTACTAGAGTTCTGAATGTTGCTGTGCTTAATGATTTCTCCAGTTCCACTCGAGAACAGCATTTTCTGGTTACAAAGAAAATGAAATATTTTTTTAAAATTCACGTTGAGTGCAACTTTAGTTACCTGTAAGACTGAAGGAAGGATGTGTAGAAATTAGCATGGGGCAGAAGAAGGAGATCGTGTTGAGTGTCTTCACAAGATGTCTTGGTACAGGCTGCAATTTTTATTTATTTTTTAATTTTTTTTAATGGCAAATATGCAACCTATTGGCAGTTAAACTTAGCTCTGGGCCATGGCTTATTATTCAAGGTGAAGGAATAAACTTCAGAAGGCTAGTTTCTGTTGGCTCTTGGGGACAATCAGTCCATGTCCACTATGGAATCTTGAGGGTTGTGGGCTTAACACAACAAGGAAACCTGAAAGGATAAAATAAGCTTTGTTCCTGGTCTGGCAGAAATGAGAACAATTCCTGCTAGATGATGGAGGAATGGTTCCAAACTACTTTTTTGGGGGAAGGGGGAAAGGGGAGGTTTCTGTGGTACTTGACTTCTTACAGTCTTTCACTTGACAAGTCAACAATGTACTGGATCCTGCTGTTGTTAGTAAAACTGAGTTGACTTGGTCCTGTTACTTTTATTTTTCACTGTGAGTTACTCCTCAGGGAAAATAAGCAGCTGTAGAAACAACAAAACCAACCTCAAACTGGAAGGCAATAAAATAATAGCAGTGCCATGGGTGCTTCAGGAGTACAAGTGACTGGTGACATACGCTTAGGTCCACTTAGGAACCACTACTTGAGGACTGTGGGATTAATTTTTTTCCTATTTGGCCCTCTGGGGGCCTAAGAAAGCTTCTTTCTGTGATGCCTTTTTATTTTTTTCCATCAGATATGCGTAGAAGAAGTGTAAGTTTTAGTAAACCGAGAACAGCTTTTGCTCTAAGAATGCATACTTGTGTTCTGGAATATGAAACTAATCTTGATCATGGTGTCAGTACTTCTCTGGTGAATTAGCTCTCAGAAGTTTTTCATCTGCTGAGGTTAATTTGGAATTTGTATTTTGGTGATGAAGTGTTTTAAGGTTGTAATGTGCAGAAGAAGAAACATAACTTGAATGTGATCCCCAAATTTGTACCAGATAATACTAATTCTTCAGCTTGGATGTCTCAGCATTTTGAAATAAACTGTGTTAGTATCTGTATTATCTAAACAATGTTCTAACAATAAATTAAGATCATGGAGATGCAATTTGAGGAGGTTTCTTATGTTAATAAAGGGAACAGAATTCAATGGGTAGTTACTTTGTGCATTGCTCAAAGAACTAATTTAGAAGTTAGGTTACGATAATAAATATTTTTATCAATAAAATTTCTTGCATTGCCTCTCATTTTGTATTTGTAGTTTTTATAACTGTTCTTCATCTTGGAATACATATTTTACATGTCATGGTTTGAGATAGCCCCAAAATCCGATTCCCTAGCTCCATCCCCCCTCCCACATCTCAACCCAATGTGAGATGGGTTTTTCCAGACAAAACACAACCAGACTCAGAATGGGGGAAAGGGAATATATTACAATGACTGTACAAATAAATACTATAACACATTATACACACGATCACAACTACTCTACCATGACATATAGTATTTACAATGGATCAGATCTCCTCTCCCCTCCAAATAAAAGTCCAGGAGGGAAGGAAGGACAGATCCCTTCCAGTCTCTCAGGCAGCATTGCATTGCATTTGTATTGCATTATTAAATGGACTTATCTTTCGTAGTAAATTTTTACCTAGTTTATAAAACTATTTTCTCTTTTTTTTAATAGGAATCTATTAACCACGCTTTCAGATTTGGAAAGATCATGATTAGTACATTGAGTAAGGTGAGTGTTTTATGCTGTCCCTCAGAAACTGATTTGTACTATCAGTACTTTCTTAGTGAGTCTGAACTGGGAGTTTATGTGCTTTTGTTGTTACTCTTTTGTGTGTTTCCTTTGAGCTGTAATATCAGGAACAATGTGGCAGCAGGACCAGGGCAGGGATTCTGCCCCTGTACTCAGCACTAGTTAGGCTGCACCTTGAGTGCTGTGTCCAGTTCTGGGCCCCTCAGTTCAGGAAGGATATTGAGGGGCTGGAGCAGCTCCAAGGAAGGGCAATGAGGCTGGGGAAGGGACTGGAGCACAGGCCCTATGAGGAGAGGCTGAGGGAGCTGGGGGGGCTCAGCCTGGAGAAGAGGAGGCTCAGGGGAGACCTCCTTACTCTCTACAACTCCCTGACAGGAGGGTGTAGCCAGGTGGGGTTTGGTCTCTTCTCCCAGGAACCAGCAGCAGGACAAGAGGGCTTGGTCTCAGGCTGTGCCAGGGGAGGTTTAAGTTGGACATTAGAAAGAAATTCTTTAGAGTGAGTGATCAGCCATTGAAATGGGCTGCCCAGGGAGGTGGTGGATTCTCCGTCCCTGAAGGTTTTTAAGATGAGACTGGTTGTGGCACTTGGTGCCATGGTCTAGTTGACAGGATGGTGTTGGTTCACGGGTTGGACTCAATCTCAGAGGTCTTTTCCAACCTGATTGATTCTGTGGTCTGTACTGTTTGCAGTGCAGAAGTTTACTAATCAGCTAGTCTGGATAGTACTGTAATATTGCAAAACAGATGAAATTGTAACTGAGATTTTGAGGATTAACACTATGATGTCTGTTTAGTCTAAATAATTGAAAAAAAATCAAACCTGTTTTTCTGTAGCTAAAAAATGTGTTCTGAATTGGTTCTAAAATCTGACAACATTCTCTTTTTAATGCTCCAGGTGGGGCTTCAGTTCTACAGAAAGTGAACTTGGTTCAGCTTGGTTTGCATCCTGTAAGACAGGTGTGTTCCCTAAAGCAGGTTGTTCACTCCTTTCTAATATTTGAAGTCTTCTGTGCTTAGAATAGATATATGTCAGGATCAAAGGAAATGTCACAAGTTCTGTATTATTTGTAAACTGAACAAATTAGACTTCCTTCTGTGGAAAAGATCTTCGAGATGCCATCCATAGATGAACTCTCTTAGTTCTTTGCGGTTTGGTTGTACTCAATCACCTGTACATTTCCTCTGTTAAATAATAGGAAAAAAAGATCAGATTTTACTGCCTCTAATTCTGTTCACATTGTTTAAATACAACTCAGTCAGACTAGGCATTTTGTTTCAGATAAATTCTAGAAAGGCTTATCATGAGATTTTTAAGTAGTTTACAAGGACTGTTTTTTCTTAATGTCGTCCTAAATGGGCTAAGTAGATGAAGCCAATTTGAGACACAATTAAAATGGTACATGCTGCTACTGTGAATATCCTCTTCAAACCTAGACTTTGTTAAACCTTTTTTAACCTCTGAAAATTTTACAGGGAGTTGGGTTAGAGTAAGGGAATTGGAAGAGCTGCCTCTAAGCAAGGATTTAACTAGTGCTTAAAGACATTTCATGTTTTCAATTTCCAAGCTAAAAACTGTGAAATCTGGAAGTAGTTCTGGATACAGCAATTTCTAACACTTCTTGTGGTCACAGGTAGAAAGCTCATAATTTAAATCCTGTTGTATCAATTTATGATAAAATCAGAAGCAAAAACATTTAAAGAACCAGTGTATACAGGTTTGTATCATAATACAAGTATTTTAGAACTCATATCAGCTTTGTGATGTTATGCAGAATGGAATGTTGTGAATAAATTCTTCCTTAAATCTGGCCAACACAAATGTACTTTTAACAGTTAGTAGACATGCAGCATGTTAAATTAAGGCATGTTAACATGGGCTGTCTTCCAAAGTGGTTAGCTTGGGATTTGAACACTGTTCCAGGCTTTTGTTCCAGACATTTCTTCTGCATATTCAAATGAAGCACTTAAAATGATGTAACTGTTTGTCACACAAATGTTGATCTTCTGAATTTGTGGTTTTTATTGTACTATTTCTTTGTGCTACATGGCAGTGGCATGTACCAACAGACTTAGTTTGCTAGATTTGATAGAAGAGCTTTCAGTTTCTTGTTTTTCCATCAAAATTCCCAATGTCTCTCTTGAGAAACTGTTTTTATTAGAAAGAACAAAAGTGTTAATTGACTTTGTCAGTACAGCCTTCTGACCATAAAGAAACACTTTTTGACTGTGAGGGTAAGTGAGCACTGGAACAAATTGCCCAGAGATACTATGGAGATATTCAGAAGTCTTCTGGTGGTGGTCCTGGGCAGCCTGCTCTAGGTAGCTCTGCCTGGACAGGATACCTCCAGAGGTCCCTTTTGACCTCAGTCATTATGTGAATTGAAATTTTGCAGCTGCCTTGTAAAATCTTCAGTCCCGTACCAAGCCTGCAGTGATGTAGATGAGTTTAGATCAGGTGGTAAAATGGTGTTGTAGCCAAACCTGGAGCTCCTGCTGACCACACCAGGCATTTGGCTCTTGACCTACTGGAGATACTGGCCCTGCTCTTAGTGGCTGTGTCAGCCCGTGCAGACTATGTGCATAGTGTGATACTATACTGGTTGTGAATCCTAAGGGTTATTTTATCTAGCGTAGAAGATTCTGTTGTTTTAAAATGCAATATTTTAGACCAAAAGTGTTTAAAATGCAAATTTGTGTCTTATTCCTCTGCTGTGTGACAGTTTCATGTTTAACCAACATTTATCTGCGTAGGCATGGCATAACTGTGAGCATCTCTCTGGTATCTGTTTGAAGAGGACACTGTTGGGGGGCCCAGGTATTTCTTTTATATTTTATAGTTATAGAGGTGTCTGGACTCTGTAATGGTCAAAGATTTCCAGTAGAAGAGGATGAGACAAGAATTAAATGCATGTGGCAGACTCTGGACCTAGGCACCCCATGCTTTTGATGCTAACTAGGAGGGAGCTTGATAAACACTTTTACCAACTTTTCGTATTAAAAACAGGTAAGAAACACGCATAATTATTATGATTCATGTTAGTAGAAAGATGCTTCCCCTCCTGCCCCTCTAGAGCTTATGCAGAAAATAGACTGTTCTGTGTTTGTTTTATCTTAAAACTGTGATTTCAGTCGTATATATACTCAGAACAATTTTTTGGGTGTGAACTGGTAGTTACCTTATTTGAAGCTTAAAACACTTTTAACCTAAAACCATACTTATTCTTGAATTCAGGTTTGAGTTTCTTCACTGAGGAAACAACCTGGTTGGAAGCATCCTTACTATGGATGTAAGGGCCCTGATCTGATGCTGACTTCTTCCTGTATAGGAGCTGCTGTAAATTCAGAGTGGCCCTTGGATGGCTCTGGAGCAGGGCTGTCTTGATAAGTTCCTCTGTTGTAAAGTGGCAGCTGTAAGCAGTGGTTAATGGGGATGACCTTTATAAAGATATTACTTTTATTTAAATAAGAGACTTGTGTTTAGGGTTCTCTTGAACTGGAAGGTGAATCCTTATCAACAAATTGTGAAATGAATACTGTGAAATTCAGATACCAGCACTTGTGATATACTAGATGTTGTTGATAATTTTATTGGCATAAGTAGAAAATTGAGTTACACCTCATTGCTTGTTAAGAAAAAAAGTAAAACTTGTTTACTATTAATTGAAGTGAGATGAGAAATCTAGTAAAAATGAAAGTTTTTCTTTTTTTTTTTTTTTTTTAGTAAAGAGGTGCTGCAAGAAATTATTGAGCATCTTTGTTATTGTTTCTTATAGTGAAGTCTGAGAATACTGCCATCTTTTGCTTTTCCCCCTTCCTAGAAAATATCCTAATGAAGGTATTCTGTTAATTATTCTATCTCTTGCTAGATTAAAATGGAGCTCTCAATGTTGTTGATAAAGTTATAGAGTTGAACAAGTCACTTACTGGATTATTATTTGGTTTTCAACACATTCTCATAATGTTTTGCTACTACCAAGCATTTAATTATTGTCTAATTGCACAGGGAGAGTGCATTCATTGTAGATGTTAATTTTCAGTTATCTCTCAAATTGCATGATGTGATTAAACCATTGCTAGTTATTTGTCATACAAATGAGAAAACAAAGCAAAAATCCAGAAGACATGTGGAAACTCTTCTTGTTGATAAGATCTTCAGTAAAATTTCATCCTGACCATTAGGAATTTCTCCTATAGGTACTAGTACAGTTAAGAGTACCTGAATATTCATATGTCTATAGTCATAAACTGTGGTGTGCCTCTTGCTTCATTGGGAATGTTGATAAGTTCACAGTAGTTGCAAATTTAGACTCGAAATGTTGTCCTCTTACTCAGTTCTTGAATTGGATAATTTTGACTCTAGAGTGTTAGTTTCTCATTCTTTAATTGCCAGTACTAAACATGATAGGTTTTGTGTGAAAAGAAATCTGGAAAAAAATCTATTACCTGAATATAATCAGATCTCTACTGAAACAAGATTTTTGTGTTTAAATACTATAGTTTTCAAAAGAAGTTCACCTCCTTGGTGTTCTACAGTCCTCCTTGAGGGTTTTTTTTCAGAAACAGAAGCTCACTTACTTCTTCCAGCATTTGTCCATATGTATTTTGGTGTGTTTTTCTGGGGATGTTAAAGTTCAGGCTGTTTCCTTTGTCTTGCTGCAGGATAAAGGAGCTACTGTAGCTAATGAATAACCAGAAGACATTTGCTGCACATCTAACCTGGCATATCAATGCCTACATTTGTCCTCAGTGGAATTACGTTGCCTTTTTCATACACTGCATCAGGACTTTGTAGAGCTCTAGTGACTTTGGAAGGCTTACTCTATCTGTACTGATAGAATGGGGTTTTTTGTGAGCCAGTTGCCTTAAAATCAAGCTTAACTGATGCCAACTTAAGATTAAAAAAAAAATTATTTGCAACATCAGAAAAGACAACCTCACTTAAAAGTTTAGAAAGATACAGCAGCAAATAAAGAAAAAACTGGCTTAATATACTTGCCTCAAGATCAAACCAAAAAGTTCTTTTTGTTTCCATGTTCAGATGTGTACTGAACTTGGTATGGGATGTAATAACTGTCTTCAAACTGGTAACAGGAGAGAGCCTCAGACTGGGAAAGCATGCAAGCTTTTGCCTTTCCAGTCTTGTTTGGTTAGTGATTGGAAATTTATTCAAGCATATGAGTGAGATGAATATGTGCAATTTATTATGTCATTTTGACTGAGATTAGTTTCAAAGTTAATTAATCTCTTTGTGATGTCTGACTGTCTGTGCTGTTGAAGTGCCTGCAGAGTGCTTGCGTGTGCATGCAGATGTTCCACTTAAAGTCTTTCTGTGCCCGAGACTGAAGTCTAGCCAGCTGCATCATTCTCATCTAAATTACAGGCACAGAGCATGGTGTAGGGTTGTTGCCAGTCTGTTCTTTCTTCACTGTTACTCCAGTCTCTTCTTAGAAAATCTCTCCAAAGTTATGGCATATATTAACATTGCTACTTTGGGGGAATCTTGGCCTTTTTTATTATTATTACACGAAGTCTTGTTTTAGAAACGCTCCACTTTCTTCTTTCCCCAGAAGCTCTTGCAAATTTATCATAATATTTTTCTTGTTACTTCCTATTTACTCTTCCTGTATTCCTTACTCTGGTATGTGCCTCTGGCACTGAGGCTTTTGAGATTTTGAAACAGAAGAAATTTTGTGCAAGACTGACTTTCAGTGATGGTAATCTTCCTGTCCTGCCGAAGAACACCATTCCACCTCCAGGAGTTGAGCCAGTTCTTTTGAAAGATACTTTTAAAGAGGTCAAACTTGTATCTTCTCCATTACTCAGCTACTCATTTTTGTTTCTGGCGTGACTGTCTTTGGGATCCAGATTGTGGTCACTATAATGTGGTTTTTTAGGAACTGCAGCGACAGTTGGTGTGGGCAAAGCTGCAGAAGCTCTGGCATGTTGGTAGCTAGAGGCAGAAATAACAAGACTTAAATGTGTTTCCTGACACGGATTTCTGCCAGGTCTCAAGAGGAAGAGAATTGACATAGTGTTTCCTAAGTGTCAGTATCTATTTCTTTTGTATTGGTGATTCTCTTAATTTGAACTCATTGCTTAAAATAAAAATACTTTTAAAAACCCTAAAATCTTCTCTGTCGTTGACTCAATCAACTCTTGTTCAAGGTGACACAGGAAATTCCTCAAAAGTTATTGGACAGTTTATGTATATATATTGGTAATAATTGTCTCCTACCTAAGGAAATACTGTTGAAGTTTCCTGCAAATACCTGGCAGATGCTATCAGGGAAAGAAGGGAGGAGTCGAGACAATAGATATTTAGAGGTGGAAAAAATTATTCATCAGTGGTTTAACAGCTCAGAATTTCAAACTGTGTAAGACTCTAGAAGCTATGGCACATTTTTGTTGCCTCATAAACTTCCAAAGATTACACAAAAGACTGGGAAGATAATTTTCCAAAGAAAGGTTGTGTCAAAAAATATTTGCGGGCAACTTTTGAGGCTGGAAATAATACAGCATATGTAGTACTCTCTGGCTTAGGAATTCAGGAGAAGAGGTTTCTTGTGCTTAAAGACTAAAATACAAAATATTTACATCCAGCCTAGGAAAGCTGTGGCTCAGTCCTTGTTCTTCCCATAAATAGCACAATTTTACTGATATATGGGTTACTGTGGTACTGAACTAATTATCTTTGGAGAATTTAGGGCTATTCTAAGAGTCTGTCTTTTGGTTCATGCTTATAAACCTATCAGTTATGATTTACATAGTTATATTTATAGGATTAAATATAACAGCCCAAAGTCGTTTGGTTTTTTTTTATTATTTTGAGAGATTTTTTTTTTCCCCTGTCTTTAAAAAAAACATCTAACATAGTTTACTAGCAGATAGTGTTGTTTTGGTTATGACAGTATATTTTTCTCTGGTATCTAAAGCTACTTCCACATAGCATTTTGTCAGGAAAGCAGGAGGGAACTCCAACCTTGGGCACAGAATAGTATGAGAAGTGTTAGACCTTGCCTTAAATTTGCACGTCAGACCTCCTTTAAGGTGATGCTCTGGCTGCCTTTATTCTGAAAGCTTCATGAAGGGGTTAATTTTTGGTTTTTTGATGTGCATAAGGCATTTATTTGAAGTGGACGAGATGCTGTAGATGATCTCCAAGGTTACCTTTAACCTTCACAGAGGAGGTAAAAAGGCACTCCATTGCTAACTGAGTAGTTTGCTGGACTGCCTTTACTCACTGAATCCTCCACAGAGCTTTATGCTCTCAGTACCCTCTGTCAAATAATAGTACAGATGACACATGGAAAATGGCTTCTTGAGGGTGGCCTCAGTTATTTAACCAGACAGATGCTCTTATGTACTCAATACTTGAAGTAGTGCTAAGAGCATCTCCTGGGTAAGAACGGATTTAACATATGTGTAAAATGCTCCTTACCTTTGCAGTAACAGAGGGTTTGTCTCATGTGCTGTCCATACAGGTCTTCCCTGTGCCACATTCCATATTTGCTCTCCTGAGCTCTTTGGTGGTTTTGGTCACTCTCACACAAAAGCAGCTGTGGTTATCCTGAGATGATTAAGCCCAGGCTGTGGTTTTGCAGACAGGGTAATGGGCACCACTAACCTCTCACCAGGGAGGCTCACGGGGAGCCTGCGTGGCCAGAGTGGACTCTAACCTGGCATGGAACTTGTTTCAGATGTCTAGATAAAGGCAGGCAAGGGAAAATTTGAGCTTGCTCTGTCAGAGAGATTAAATTAGAGGTGAACTGTCTGATCTAGTTAATCATTGGCCACTAGAGTATGTTCCATTGTGACATAATACTAGAGTTTCAGCTAAGAGTAAATATTCTTTTATTGCAATTTCCAGTTATGTAATTTTTAGGACAGAAGTGGTTAACTTAGTCCGGAAAAAAACTGTTAGAGCTACTGAAGTGTAATTTACTGCCTGTACAGTACTTTTCAATACAACAGCATGACAGGATGTCTATTTTGTCTGGATTGGGGTACCTGAAGTGAATACGAGCAGAAGTGAAATGTCAGTATATTTCACTCTACCCAAAGGTGTTGTTTTTTTTTTTTTTATTATTACCTACAATGAAGAACTAGTGAATAAACTTGTAAAGAAAAAAAACCTATTTCTATTTTTATACCATTACTGATAGCTTAAGTGAATGCCCTTAAACTACACTTCCTACTTCCTCTTTCAAATGAAAGCAGATACCTTACATATTACTTTGGCCAAGCAGGGAGATGAATAATATTTTCTGGAAAAACTCAAAATAAGTGTAAAATATCTGAAAAAGCATCAGTTAGGAGGTTAAGAAACTAATTTCCATGTGGTTTCATTTTAAGGGGAGTTGAATCGTAGTGTGTTTTAAATTAATCTTGTGAATGTTTTCTGTTACGGTCTTTCTAAAAATATATTTATTTATTTGTGTTTAAAAGGAAGCTGCTGCACTTACTGTTAACAAAACTTAGTTAAGAATTATTTTATTGACTTTGTTATTCCAGTCAGAGGTCTATTAGTCAACAAGTGTAGTCTTGAATATTTTAAAGGAACAAAGAGGAAGGAACAAACATGGTTCTCTTGTCTTGAAAACAATGGGTTTTTTCCCTGATGATGAATTACATAGTTCAAAGAATCTTAGTTCATAGTTTTGCAGTACTGTTGTCTCTGTGGGTTGCTGACATAGATGAGGATGTGAGTCAGATTAAAGACGATTATTTTATTCATAAAGTTGAACTACTCTGTAGTACTTCTTTTGATGGTACTTCAGTATTAGTTTGTTCTTGATTCGCCTCCATATACATGCTGACTTTTTGGAGCCTGATGCATTAGAATTTACTTTAAAAGCAGGGATTTTGTTGTTGTTTTAACCTTTTCTAAACAATTTTTATCACCCCCCCAAGTTAGTGGTAATCAGTAGATAAATTTCAGGGTTATTTATGTCTTAGAATTTTTGTTGTTGATAAATAGGTGGGTTTGTTGATAAATAGGTGCTTAGTTTCCTTGTTCCTGCTGTGTGATCTGTGTACCTACCTACATGGCTCTTGTACAAAGAAAGAAATGAAGAGCTGGTGAAAATGACAGAACAGATCTTAAAAGAAACAGGTTGAGACTATGTATTTTAAACCCAACATAAAAAAACAAAACAGTCCAAATGACCTCCAAACCAAGTAAGCAATGCTCTGATGTCTGAATGGAATTTTTTTGTTTATCAAGGTAAACTGGAAACCAGTGAAATGGTTTCAGTAAAAGTAATAACAGTTATTGTCCAAATCCAGGTAGTAAAATTGTTGATTATTAGGTAGGAAAGTAGAAAACAAATGAATGCAAACTTTTAAGGAGTTTTTCATGTTTATTCAAGTTCAGGTTTTTTGTGGGGGTTTTTACTAAAATATAAATACCTTTTCTGTGATAAAACATTGTGAGATTTGCAATTTAACCTAAATTTTTCACCACTCAAATGCTAAATATATTAACTATAAATATCACTTTTACTTTCTACAGTCAGTGCAGATTCCAGTCTGTCAGCAAGGCAAACAAGAAAATAAATTTTTTTTCTTCCTTCCCTTCCTCCTCAGATTTGTGCATCTGTACTTCCAAACAAAGTTTGCACAGAGAGAAAATTCTGAATATGGCTTGATTTGCTCTTGATCTTGGCAGTGTTTCTAATGACTGTCCCACGGACTCTATCAAGTTCAGGGGCTTCTACTCCAGCACTGAGGAGCAGAACCCTGAGCAGCAGCCTGGGATCAGCAAAAGCATTTCTCTGTCATTCTTTTTAAAAGAACAACGGAAAATGAGTGATTACCCTGGACTCGCAAATAACCATAGCCAGATGATTGCTGAAGATTCAGAAATTCAGACGAAGCCTGAACACTCTCGTGGAGTTCTTCAGGAAGATATTGAAATGAGCAGTGGCTCCAGTGGAAATGACTCCAGTGGAAACGACTTCAGTGGAAATGACACAAATGAAAACTATTCAAGTGGGCATGATTCGCATGGCCATGAGTCTGATGAAAATGGGAAAGATTCAGCAATGCTCATGGAATCTTCAGACTGTCATAAAAGGTGGTAGCTAATCATAAAATACATTTCACACCAGTGACTTTTTGCATTTGAATATAATTTCTGAATAATAACTAAGGTATAAAATGTATCTTGAAATTGAAGCTGAGTGTTCTAGTTAAATTGTTACTCTCATGTGGTGTAAATTGTGTAATAGATATTTATTCATAGAGAAAAGGTCTCTGGTGTTCTGCATGGCCACCTTCATTTGCATCTTTCTTCTCATCATTGTGTGTTTAATTGGCCTTATTTATATTTTTCTAGTAAACCAACTTCTATAATCGTGTATCAAAAACTGTCAGTTTATTCTTGTGTGTTGGGATGCAACTGTGCTATTTTAAACATTAAAATAATAGCTTACTGTACAAAGCTGAAGGAAGAACCACCTTCTTAGCAGTCCTGCAAGGACCAGGGAGTTGAACTCGGTGATCCTTATGGGTTCCTTCCAACTGAAGTTACTCTGTTTCTTAGACAAATGTTTAACAGCCACAGTTTCCATTTTTTTGTACCATGCAGAAGCTTTTAAAGTTCGGAGTTTGTTTTGTTTGTTTTTTTTTTCCTAGGTAACCAGTAATTAATAGGAAAATATAAAGCTAAAATGAACTAAAAGTTTTTTGTTAGGTTTACTAATATTAATCTTTTTCAATCTTTCTTAATTCTAGTTCAAGTTCAAATGCATTTAGTCTGATGATTGCAAACTCTGAACACAATCAGTCCAGCAGTGGATGCAGGTAAATTAATGGGCATGTATTTTTTAGTAACTTGCATGTACGCTAAACGCTGAAAACTGAATAGTGTTGTATTTTGGTGTTTTGTTTTGTTTTGCCTAAACCTGGAGGACTACACAAGAAATCCTGTCCATAATCAGTAGCATGTCCTATTAACTACTTGATTGCTTTAGAGCTTTCTGTTGCTTTTCCATGCTAGTTGTGTGATAACCTTTCAAGTCATGTTACTTGGTAGCTAAACTCCCTAATTTTTATTTTTTGTGCATCTCTTTGAATATTGCTTCAGCTCTAGTAGTTTTTTTTTGTAGCTTTTCTTTAAATTCTCTGCTCTTTAGAATTTAGCCTGAACCTGGTAGTGTATTAACATCAGGATTCACCTATAGAGTTGGGTTATGTTCTAATGTCCAGCACCCACATCATCCGCCTCTCCCGTGTTCCATTTTCTGGGTTTCAAGCCTCCATTGTATAAGGATAAACCAACATACTGCAGGAATGCCTCTCTATGAACTCTGCTTCTGGCCCTGGTAGCACTGAAGGCTCAAATCTAGATACTTCAGAGTGCCCTACACAACTGTACTTGTTGTTTTTTAAAGTCAGCTGATCAGGAGACCAGACCCTGAGCAGATCAAGGATATCTGGCTGTAGCATACTGATATTAAGACCTCTCTCCACACCTACCTGGACGTGTTTCCACCTGATACAGAAAAGTGGTAAATTAAAATTGCTCTTGTGCACCATTTGGTGCTTGAGGAACTTGTTTTCTGTGTCTGCCTTGCAGGCACCTGGAGATCTTGTTCCAGGCTCTGTTTTCAGTTGGAAATTGTGATCTGGAGTTCATATTGCTAAGTATGAAAGACAGAGTGAAACAAAGACATTTCTTAATCTTCTTTTCCCATTAATTCCATTTTCTTCACTGCAAGATTTTGGGAGGATGGAGGGGTTACTTATTACAGTTTTTCTAATGTCTCTTTATTTTAAATTTCAGTAATATTTCTTTGCTCAGAAATAATTAGGAATCCATCAGGAACAGTGCTAAAGGGTTACAGAGCAGAATCTGATCATTCTTTTGAAAATGGGAGATTGAAGATATATCTAGAGAATGATCTTTTAAGAGAAGACTAAAGTAGTCTGATAAGCTGCATGCTTAATCTTAGATTCAGACTACTGGGGTTTGGATTCAATATCAGTGCCAACCAACAATTCTAGTTTAATATCTGTAGGTACCTTTCCAGGTTGCTGTCAACAAAAAACAAAATGGAAAGCTCCTTTTTTTTTTTTTCATAGAGCTTGCTTATTCTGTCCTCTGAAAGTCACACCTTCCCTGTGGCTGCCTACTGTGCCTGATGCTACTGATCTCTGGGAAAACATTTCAGAGTTGTGTAACTTATTTTCCAAGGAGGCCCATCTTTTGTATACGCTGCTGCTGAGGGCTAATTTGGAAAGGTTTCTTTTCTTGCAAAAGAGTCTGACCACTCTCATGAAGCAGACTCAGAGAGTACAAACCAGCTGTATGCTCAGTTATTTCATAATCTTTTCCCTCTCTCTTTTTCCCTACTGCCAGCATAGAGGGCTCTTCTGTTAACAAAGCCCTGTTTGATTGCATCAGTCCAAACTGTCAAGCCACATTGTAGATGTGATTTTAATATACAGCACAAACATAATGTTTCCCAGGGGAGTACTGTACTCTTTTGTCTGATCCCTTGCCATTATTTCCCGGTACAAAATGACCACTGAAGAAATGAATGCTGCATTCCTCATAGTACATTGTGGTGTAAGCCAGAACAATGTGTATTCTCTAGTACAAGTCAGCTTTGTCACTTTCCAAGCATTTTTGGTAAAATACACCCAACACTTGTCAGGTGACTGATTTACCTTTTTCAAAGTCCTAAAAATTCCCAGAAAAATGTTCAGAAATCCTCTTGAAAATTACTCGGAAGCCCAAGTTACTTTATTGACCACTTCAGTCAGGGCAGGGCAGTTGCCAAGACTGTTGTTTCTGCAGTAGTGCATAGGGTAACTTCTTAGAGATGACCAGCTGTGACAATCAGGTGGTAAGAGAAAACCCACCCTTTGATGGAAAAGAATTTGTTTTCAGGAATGTTTCAGAACAGCTCTATAATCCTCTTGATCATTGTGAATGATTAGCTTTTGAAGTCTACTCCAATGCAAAAGACAAGGTGATTTTTCATTTTAACTCTTTCCTACCCTTCTGCCGCCTATCTTTATCCTGCCCCTCCCTTCCCTCACCTCCTTTTCTCTTTCTTTTTGCTTGTGTCAGCACCTCTTAGTAATGGGGAGAGACAGAGGAACTGTAAAGGAAGGTGATAACTTCCTGAACTGATAATCTCTGTTGTTTGACCTTCTACACTGAGGCAGCACTTCTGAACATGCACTTGAGAAATGTCAGTGCAGCTTCTGTCTCCAGCCTCCTCTGATTCTTCACCTTACATATTTAGTCAAGTTTCCTTACCTTATTTAATGTAATGCCATACTTAACTGGGATAGGTTGTTCAAAGGATTTCTCCATTTGTTTTGTTAACTTGATGCTCTCCCACTGCCATTCCCTTTTCAGGGACCTCTCTTAAGAGAACCTGCTCGAACAGGAGGTGAAGACTTGAGTGGACCTCCTGCTTCTCTCCTTTGAAGTCCATGAACATTTCTGAATTTGATTTTGAAAAGAACTAAGGAAAATACTACTAAAAAGGCAGGAGGGAGACTGGCAAAGGAAAAAAAAAAAAGCAATTCTCTGGTGCTTGGGTATATGTACTGTTGCACATACAGAGTGCATTTTACAATCACATTCCAGGTGGTGGTAAATCTTTCATTTTAAATGATTCTAGGTCATGTAAGAATTTTTGTAAGTTCTGAAAGCTGATACTGAGTACTGGAAAAGTTAATGAGGCTAGTGTTACAAATTTATGTATATGACAAGTGTCAGAGTACGTTTGGGCTTCCAAGAGGATGTTATGTTGCTTCAAGCATTAAAGTGATGTTTTATTTTTTGTTTTTAATCTTACAGTAGTGAGCAGTCCACTAAAGCCAAAACACAAAAGGAATTGCTGAAAACATTACAAGAGCTGAAAGCTCATCTTCCTTCTGAGAAGAGAATCAAAGGCAAATCTAGTATCCTAACGACATTGAAATATGCCCTGAAAAGCATAAAACAAGTTAAAGGTAATCGAGTATGATACTGCCTAGATAATGCCAATCTGGATAAAATGAAACTTTAAAATAGGGATTTAAATAAACTTATCTTCACACAGGAAATTGCATTATGTCTGAAAACCTCTCTAGACAGATGTTCTCATGGTGTTCCTGTTTGTTGGCTCTGTTGTCTTTTGTTCCTTTGGGACTTAAAGTAGGTCTCTAGATGCTTGATATTCAACTGATGTTTTGTTGAGTTAGAAAACTAATTTTAAAACAATTTACAATTTCGTACTGTTCGAACTGTCAAATAGACCAAAATATGTGATCATTCTTACACAGGTATATTAAGATACATAAATTTGGTTGGGTTACTGATGAGGAAGCTCTATCAAGGAAAAAACTGTAATTGGAATAGTACCTCAGTTTCCCAACTGCTCATTCTGTGTTTATTTCAAAAAATATTTTGACCGTTTACTGCTTCCAGGCTGAGTGTTTTTTGATAATTCTGAATATAAATTGTTTGTTGTTCTCTGTAGCCAATGAGGAATATTACCAATTGTTGATGATCAATGAATCCCAGCCTGCTGGTCTCAATGTGTCATCCTACACAGTGGAAGAGGTTGAGGCTATAACCTCAGAATACATCATGAAAAATGCGGTGAGTACGGTGACCCGAGTCCACAGTGTGGATTGAAAATGTTTTCTTCAGCTGCAATTCTCAGGCATTCCTTCTTTTTACATGGTAAGAGTTGGTAGCTAGGTCAACTTGCTGAAGGTGGCTTTTGCCTTCTGGGGGATGTTGATTTAGAAACTCTGAGCTGTTGCCTGGAGGTGGTGGTGTGACACATCTCAATATCCAGGTGATATAATGTGCTGTGAGACATCATTCATTTTCACTTGAGAACACCTGTTGGAAAGTAACTTTTTCCAAATTTTAGTCAAGGAACACAGTGAATTACTTCAGCTTATTCTTATAACTAGGGGTTGTTTGATGTTTCAGCAGTTCTTTGTGTTAGTGTGACTGGAGGGTGATGAAAGTGTTGGAATCATGGTATGTTGTGTCCTTTTCTGTGGTGTTTGTCTGGGTTTTGCAACAGATACAGGCTTGCTGTGGGATCTGGTGCAACTGTATTCAGCTATGATGATCAGTGTAGTTTTAACAATAAAATGATAGTCTGAATGATTTTTTTAAATTATTATTTATTTCCATAATACTAGTATTTTATAGATAAGTTACAGAGTCTTCAAAAAATAATTGTATCTAAACTTATTAGACAACCTTCCACCATTTTTTTCTTTTTAAACTGAAAACCTCTGCCTGAAAGTATGAAGTTCTGAAATCTGTACAACAAGGGCACGATGGGGGATGTTCTGTAGCTTGGAGTAGGTGGGTTTTGTTGTATCTATGAACAGTAAAGGCTTCCCACAGGGGAAAATAAATAGGAAGCGTAGAACACAACTGAGAAATTCAGCCAAATTCATAAACATTGTTCATTTAAACTGGAGCATCTGAGTTTGTGAAACTGGTGTTGTGATGACAGCTCTTGAGTTTGTGTACAGCGTTGGTGGATGGAGCACTAGAGGTTATGACGCAGGAAGCTCCTCTGTGTGAGGAAGAGAAACAATATGGAACAATACAAATGGAGTGCGTGGGACATTTTTTCCACCTGCACACTCATACTTTACTAAGTGGTCTAGAGCACTTCTTTCATTTTGCAGTGGATGGACCAGCTCACATAAACAGTCTTTCACAAACAACTGAACTTGATAAATGTAAACCATGCCTGTAACGTTAAGCACAGGGAAAATGTGCAGCTATAGAGCTGGAAGCTCATTAATTCTTCATTTGTAAATTCATTCTGCGTCATAAAATTTTAGACCGTGATATTTAGGTCTCGTAACCTGGCAAATTGTAGTGTATTATTGCACAGTTGGAAAGCGTTCTGTGTGTCTACTTAAAAAGCAGATTAACTTTATTTCATTGCAGATGTGATTCAACAATTTCCTTAATTTTTATTTTGAATTTATTAATGGTTTTGTGTCTTAAATGTATGTGTGTGTGTGTGTATATAAAATACTGTATTGAGGAATGTTTCAAACTGTCTAAATAACCTGAGATTTTTGTTTTTAGGATATGTTTGCTGTCGCTGTTTCTTTGATTACTGGAAAAATTTTGTACATCTCTGATCAAGCTGCTTCTATTCTCCGCTGTAAGAGGGGTTATTTTAGAAATGCCAAATTTGTGGAGTTCTTGGCACCTCAGGATGTCAGTGTGTTCTATACTTCTACCACCCCATACAGATTACCATCATGGAATATTTGCAACAGAGCTGGTGAGTGGTCTCAACAGCAAATACTTCTCCAACCTACTTTCAGTCATGCAAATGTAAATACTTGAACTGATTTTTAATATCCTCCCATCCTTCTCCATCACTTTTTGAGGATGAAACATAGATGCATTATTAGAACATCTCTGAGCAATACTAGGTGTATAACACGCTTTTATAAATCAGCAAGGCTTGTCTGTTGCTTGAAAGTCTTCCAAATGTCATTGTTTATTGGTTCTTATGCCCCTTTCATGAAAACAAAGTAAGAATTCATGCTGAACAGTGGGTTTACTTTCCACTTTTACTAGCAATCAAATTATTGTTTTCTTCACACTTTCTCATCTTCAGCTATGAGGAGAGACAATGCTCTGCCTCTTTCTTTTTAAATGGTTGTGGTTTGAATACTGGGCACCTTGATTACAGTGTGGAAAAAGGTGTTTCAGCTACGATCACTGTGCATTTACCAAGTCTCTTCTTTTACCCTTGGAAAAGTGATGTTAGATGAGCTGATGTTGAGATGTCTCAGAGCACTTGATATTTGTTTGTGGGAGGATTGTTTTACTAGTGTATCTACACCTGTTAGTAATTGAGAAATATCTGCCAACTACTTTAACAAACACTTGAAATTCAGGTCTACTCTAAATATATGGAAGTCCAATCCATTGCATACTAAGTCTGTGAAGTTAAACCAGGGTGCAAACCATATTAAATCTGAAATAAATGTGTACTAAGTAGTGCATACGTGAAGCAGGTCGAAAGGGACCTCGTGAGGTGTCTTGTCCAAATTCTGGCTCCAAACAGGGTCAGTGGTAAATGCTGACCATGTAGTCCTGATTACAGACACTCAGTTATACAGGTTTTGGGGTTTTGTTTGGTTTGGGTTTTTTTAACCTTTTGCGCAGTTTTATTAAAAAATGCAGCAAGTGGAACTGTGCACACTGTCTCATGTATCAGCTGCCATAGAATATAATATCCAAATGTATTGTGTGCTAGAGGCCTTTGAAATGCCAGAGCTTTCCTTGAAAATCAGTCAGTGGCTACTCTGGAAAAGGAGAGAAATAGGCTTGAAATGTGAAAAGAAGCCTTCGCGAAAAAAAGCTTTCTTTTCAAAGGGGTGGTAGTAAGTAGATTTGATGATCTAGCTGTCCTAGTGCCTTTTTAGGAAAAATCTCAGATTTTGGGGTCCCAGATAATCAAACATTTTTGGTCAACACTATAAAGTCCTGTAAAAAAATGATAAGAGTTAAGCAGCTCAAACTGGAGAGCTGTTTAGATATGTTTAGGAAAAAGACTTGATAAGCAAGCAGCTGTGATTCACACACCAGCCTCAGAATCTGAGTGGTGGTCAGATTTAGTTGCTTATGAAGTCCACTGTTCAACAAGTAAATATGGACACTTCAGGGAACGTGAAGTTTTTTAAAAAAATCAACTACAATCACTTAAAGAAAAAATCATGTATTAAATATAATAACCTTGGAGTAATTTGTAACTTGTTATGAAATATGTTTAAAATTTCTAGAGTCCTCCACCCAGGACTGCATGGAAGAGAAATCTTTTTTCTGTCGCATCAGGTAAGACAACAGTATCCTAAAGCTGAGTGTTGTACTGTGAAACTGTGCATTACATATTTGACTTTTATAAGAACCATATGGTATCCGAATTTCATGCTCTTCCATAATGTGATCACAAAGCAAAACATCTGCACATCCTCCAGTTGATTAACTCTAGAAGCCACAGAGAAAACTGCAAAGCGATTTCAAGAAGTTGCATCCTGGAAGTTAATTAGTGTGAATATTGACCTTTGGGCCATAAGGGAAGCTGATATAGTATCTCCTCCTGCTATGGAAAGACTTCATGTTAATAGAACTGTTGTGTCCAGCACCTACTGCAGAGTCTCTCTCTCTTTCTAGGAAAATAATGTCTCATCTTCAATTTATCTCAAGTGTCCCCTAGAAAGATACTTGAGGATAACTTGACTTGTCTCTTTTACAGTTACTAGGATGACACAGTTCTTTGGTTCTGCTTTTCTTCCTTCTTTTCCTGCCCCCACTCCTCTTTAGCTCGTTTTATTTAGGAGAAGCTGGCAGCTTATTCCATGTTCTTTCTTCTACAATTTGATTTCTTAATGCTTATTGCCTTTCTGGCACCATTTCCAAAAACAAAAATAGTGGATCCTATTACATAATACTCCTGGAGTAAATAAATACTTATTACTGAGCTATGAGTAAACTTTAAATGAATTAGAGGTAATCCACTGCTCCTGAGTGTTGGATTGGATGGACTGTGGAAGTACTGCTGGTGTTATTGGAGATTTTTTTGTCCAGCTAATACTGGTTTCAAAAACTTTACTTTTATAAAGCTGTGCTGCTATAAAGTTACCACAGCTGACTTTTTTTGTCCACTGTGTAACTGGTTGTTATTTTCATTACTGTGTTTTGCATCCTTGTTAAGTAAACAACAATATTATTGTATTGTCTTCACTCTTTTTAAATTGTAATAAATATTGATTAAAAGATGACCTTTATGTTAACTGAGGAGATACAGCAGTCTTCATAAAAATTAACTAAATTCATCCCTCATAAGGGTATAATGTCACAAATCAAGATTATTGGATCAACAAATAACTTTATTGTACGAGTTGGGTTTTTCTTTTTTACCAAATTTCCATTTAATGCAGTTGTGCATCTTTTTATTTCAGACAGGGGAGAGAACAACATATTCTTTATTGCAATTGGTATGCAAAAGATGCCATTGGAATTAGATTCTCTTCTAGCAAAAAAAAAAAATAAAGATCTTGGGTGCTATTCTAGGAACTAATATGGATAAATTAAAATTTTATTTAGCATAAGATTAATCTGTTGAAATAATTAACTCTGTTTAATTATTAGTGCGGGGAAGGAGCGTGAAAATGAGATTTGCTATCACCCGTTTCGGATGACTCCTTACCTTATCAAAGTGCAAGATCCAGAAATAGCAGAAGACCAGCTTTGCTGTGTGTTGCTCGCAGAAAAAGTGCATTCTGGTTATGAAGGTAATCCTTTGAATGGACAATGACTCGTTTGGTTTCCTAAAAGTAAGAGCTGTTCAAGTTTTATTGCAGTGAAAGATAATTGTTTCTGTTCTCTGTCCTTGCTGAGCAGCTGTGAGTTAACAAGCTGCTTCTCTGTGTGCTCTTGCATGGAATTTTGGACTTGGAGCTTGAAGTGTTATATATGTAAAAACACCACTTGTTAATCTGCTTTTGTTTTTCTCCCAGCACCCAGAATTCCTCCTGACAAAAGAATTTTTACAACTACGCACACACCGACCTGTTTGTTCCAGGATGTAGATGAAAGGTAACCTACAAAAAATATTCTTTAATTTACAGATAAGCAAGCTATCCAGTATCTTTACAGGATTTAAGGTGTCTGTATGGGGTTAAAAGTTATGCAGCTGCTGAAGAGTGTTTAACCTAAGAAAAGTACATCCCCCTATTTTCACTAACGCGTTATCACTGGTATTTAAGTGGAAAATTATTTACCTGCTAACAAACAACTTGTTCTTCCACTTTCCTTCCTTCTGGGACAAATCTAGACATAAATTCAGTGAATGAGCCAAATGGTCAGAAAAATTTCCTTTGCCAATAATTATGACCTGTATAAAATTTTTTCTGTGGGAGGTTTTTTTTCAAGTCTGATCTAACTAATGTGCTGCTGTCACTTTCTGCTGGCCCAGGTAGAACTAGAGGTGTGTTTTTCAAATGCAGTATTAGATGTTTATAAAATAAAAGTGTACAAAACTGCTCAAATTCTATTGGCTGAAGATTTCACATTGCTTTGACAATCTTGAAAGCTGATTAGAGTAAGTATTTACATTCTAGAGTAGAAACAAATATGCCACCTGTGATCTTAAAGTATATATAGAGACTAAGGAACTAAAGTATAAATCAAGATTTCATGGAATCACTTAAGTTCGTCAAATCTACCACTAAAACACCGTCCCTAAACACCACATCTGCACATCTTTTAAATACCTCCAGGGATGGTAACTCCACCACTTCACTGGGCAGCCTTGACAACCCTTTCCATGAAGAAATGTTTCCTAATATCCAATCTAAACCCCTACTTGTGTAACTTGAGGCCGTATCCCTTTCAAAGGATATCTGGGTGATGGAACCATGAAGTCTATGAAAAGAACAGAAGATAGTCCTTTAGAGTTTCTGATTTTTGTGCTATATGTGGGACCTTATTTTCATATTTTTTTCTGCTTAGGGAAAACTAAGTTAGCTGTAATAGTAAGATCTGACTTCTGAGATTTTCTCCTCTTGTTTTTAAGCATTCTATGAATGCCAAAAGTTTCTTTGTAGGTTAAGATGGGGAGGATGTCTTCAGACAGAGTACAAGTATAATGGACAATTTGGGGTTTCTGTGGTATCTTTTGGTTGGAAATCTTGTTTCTGAAGGCATGCTATTCTTGGCAAAATCTTTAAATGCAGCAGAAGACAGAGAGAGAGGGACTGGGGGAAAGGAGGTTATTGGGATGTTTGACTAAGCTGGAGTCAAGGTAAAAAAAAGTACTGTTTGACTTTTGAGACAGTTTATCTGTAGAAAGATCAGGCACATCAGTATTAGTGCAGTGCATGGGGGTTTTATTAAACAAGAATTGCAAAAGGTAGCTATTGGAGTTAGCTACTATAGAAGAAGATAATGGCTAATCAGTGAAGATAAGTTTGGAGTTTGAGATACAGCTGGTTTTGGCTAACTTTGCAGACATTGTGGCCAAGTATGAGAGTTCTTGTAGGATAGAAAACAATGGAATGCTGACAAATTTTTTTTTTCCATGGTATGATCTATACAGTCTCTCCAAACAGCTTAAGTTGACAAAAGAACTACTTAGTCCACTGTACTTCTGTCCTCTTCATGGATTTTTTTCTCTCCCTCATTCCCACACAAGCTCCAAGCCAACTGCAACTTTGCAGTGTGGGTTTATATTTCCAGATAGCCTGATGGCACGGTGCAAAGTTTGCCTTCCTCCATGGATCCCCAGCTCACTGATTTCCAGTAGTCACTTAAAAGAAAGCACAAGATAGCTGAATGGAGAACTTTGCCCTTATTCTTGGGTTGAGTGGAGCAAGTGCAGTAAATCCCTTCCCTGTGACTACTATGGAAGCTTCTTTCCTTTTAGTCTGGTGATGCCACTTGCTCTCAAATACCATTTTTTAACACTTCCAGTAAAGGTTGATTACATCTTGGTGTGATAGTAGTACTTTACGTCACTTATTTCTGTTCTTCTGATTTGTGTGTTTCGTTTTGCTTTTAATTATTTAGCTCCTGAGAGCATTGGCAGCCAGATAAACGTTTACCAAGATATGCATATCTTGAGCTCTCCAGGGTTCAGTATAATACACAAAGCAACAGATTCTTAAGAGAAAGCTGTGTGTAATATTTAAAAATGTGCAACTGAGCACCTGCCGTTGACTCAAATTGTTCATAATATAACACTGAAACTGTTGTCTGACTTGCATAAAATAAAGTTAATTTCTGTAATCAGTACATGTTCATGGATTGGAAAAACGTTTATTTGTCTGAACAAATCAAATCAGATCCCTGCAAGTGGATCTCTGCACAGATCATGTTAAGTAAAAAATTAATATTTTCCTGAAATTAAATGGATCATTCCTATATATATTTGTCTTTGAAATGTATTTCATACTCGATGTGTATAATGGGTGTAAGGAGTTCTAGGTAGTTCACAACAATCTTCCTAAGTTAATTTAATGCAGTTTTGTATATAGCTTACGAGATAAAGAGCCTTCTTATTCATGTTGTTTTGACACTTTAAATGTCATTCTGTAAAACACAAACTAAACTTCCTGCCTCTCCTCATCAGCCATTCTTGCGCTGCATGTACGTTTGCATTCATAAAATGAGTTTATTAACTTAAACTCTGAATGTGTTATTCACTATGAGGAAGCATAATGATGCTAAGACATGATTCTCACAGCATTATATGATCACAGAAAGGCTGGTTGGAAGGGACTGCTGGAGGTCTTTGTTCCTTTTGCTTGAAATGAAACCTTTGCCCCATTCTAGGTTATGTCATCTGTAACCTTGTCTCAGTAATGCCTGAAAACCTTCAGGGGCAGAAATTACACAATCTCTATGGGAAACTGTTCCTGTGTTGCACTGTTCTGTTAAAAAACTTTTCCTGACATCCAGCATAAGCTTTCCAGACTGCAGTCTGGGACCATTGCCCGTTTTATTGTCTGGCAACCACCAAGAAAATTTAACTCTGTTTTTGTAACTCCTCTTTCCAGCAGTTGTGGAAAGCTCCTGGATCATCCCTTAGTCTCCTTTTCATCAGAACAAGCAAGCCCAGCTCAGTCTCACATTCTAGATCCCCCACTTTTCCAGTGATCTTCATATCAGTATAAAAACACAGAGGGGATTTTTATTTATTTATTTTTTTTTTGCGTAGAAGTGATTGAATTTGCATCTTCCTTTATAATTTGGTTTAATAAGTCACAGTTGGATAAAATCTGATCTCCTTTAGGGTAGGTGTTCTGTCACAGCACAAACAAGCGTAATGTTTGCCAGGTTTCCATAAAGCAGGTGGCAAAGAACAGGAATAGTACTGAACAAAAACTTCTAACTGTTACTTGATGAAGTCATTTGGAGTTGACTGGTATTTTAAAGTCCTCTAGTGGCACAGCTTTTCTCATGTGCTTTGAACTTGGCAGCACTTTTAAATGTCAATGTGTCACAATGATGTGATTTGGTATGAGTTTCAGGCCAGTTTCAGTTCTGTTGCTTTAGTTCATCTGTAAGCTTCCAAGACTCATTATTTAACTAATTGCTTCAATACTAAGGCATTAGTTGCTATCCTCATTTTCCCCTGAGTATCTCAGCCTCTTTACCAGAAGGGTATCTTTGATGTTTTGGGGAACTGATGTCATTCCAGTGGGGTGCTGGAAGTGCAGTGTTGAAGGCATATGTTGCATAATGCTTTTGAGTTCTTACATGACACAAACCCCTTGTCTGTGGTGCACTGGTGCTGAGTTTTCCATTAAAGCTATTCAGATCCCTGAGTGTCTTCCTACCCCGGACCTTTGTCAGAGAACAGGGCTGTGGGAGGAAGGTGTACAACATCTTGAGTTTACAAGATGACTCGTTAGCATCTGGCAACTTAAACATTACTGAGCAATATTGACTTAATGCCATTTTTTTTTTCCCAAAGCTTATTAACCTTCAGGGTGAGGTGCAAGGTGACATTTTTGAACTTTCACTCTTTCTCCTTAATACGAATGCTTGAAGTGATCAATAAAAATTATTTCATCACATGAATTAGTCATTCACATCACTAGAAGTGCTCACTGGTAATGTGCAGGATTTCATCAACATTCCTTTTAATTCTCTGGTTAATAAGTTTGTTTCCTTGCAGCTCCTTGAGGTTGAACTCTTAACTTGCCTGTGAGAAAGTTGTCTTGAGTCCTACTCAACTGCCCTGTTGCTAGTTCAGCCCTGGTAATCCTGTGATCCTTAGCCTTGGCTCACAGTTGAGGGATTGGGGTACTATTTACCTTCATGAGAGTTTTACAAGATTAAACTTTATTAATGCTCTTTTAAAATTAGGGTAAGTATTTATCCTCTAAAGTTAGGAAGCAAAGAACGCACAGAACTGCTGTAGGAGACTTCTTGACTTGGTCTGACCACCACCCCACAAACAAGCAAAATCCCCCTTGTTGAAAGAATATTATTGTTATTAAGTTGGCACTGCTTTTTCATCATATTTAAACTTAAAATAACTTGTTCTCTTTGTAGGAAAAACGGCAAAGAAAACTTGAAGTATTTTAAAGATGAACTATACCTTTATTCCACTTGATTTTCATTATTTTTTCTCTGTTTTTCTTTCCCCAGAGCAGTACCTCTGCTGGGATACCTACCTCAGGACTTAGTAGGAACACCAGTCTTGGTGCATCTTCACCCAAATGACAGACCCTTAATGCTGGCAATTCACAAAAAAAGTATGTAGTCCCTTATTGTGGCAGAAATACAATTTTTTTTCTAAAAATTAATAAGTATGATGACAAAGACTTCAACAAGTAGGAGGGGAAGTTGTGTCTATGATTTTTTTCTGCAAGTAAATCCTGAATCTTTTACTGTACAACTTGATTCTTAATGCAAATTCATGAAAATGAGAAATCACTCAATTTTATGTTCTATATGAACCATATGTATCTACTGTAAACAAGTTGACTGTAAATGAATATTTCGTACATAAAGAAAGTTTTCTTGGGAATGGTGTGAAAGAAGTTGTCATACATTAAATGATAATCTTTCTTATTTCATAGAGAAGAGAATAAGAGTCATTCTGGCAATGTTAATTTGTTCAAATTTGAAATTGTAAAGCTGTTCCTTCATCCTCCTTTATTTCGTTGTATTCTATGGGTGATTTTCTTGATCATAGTCCAGCAAATTATGAAGGTCTCCTTATTCTGGTAGCTCAGCATTTCTGAATGTATTGATGTATCTGGCACTTGTTACTTCAAATAACATCTTCCTCCTTTGCAATTCATTGCAAAATCCTGAATCATTAAGTAGAATTGTGAAAATATTAATCTAAAATTTCCTTTTGAATCCTTCATTGCAGTTCTTCAGTATGGAGGACAGCCTTTTGACTATTCACCAATTAGGTTTTGTACTAGAAATGGAGATTATATCACCATGGACACCAGCTGGTCCAGTTTCATCAACCCTTGGAGTAGAAAAGTTTCATTTATTATTGGAAGACACAAAGTTAGGACGTAAGTCAATAAACTGTTGGGACTTTTAGATTTTATTTTATTTTAATTATTATTTTTATTTTCCCTTCCCTCAGATTTATCTAGTGATCTTTGAGAGAGACATAAGGGAACAGAATGAGTGTTAGATTTTGTTCAGTTTATACAGATGCTAAATTGAAGCTGTGACCTGTGTGATTGAAGTACTTGCATTTGTAGTGAGCTGGTATATGTTTGGTTTACACAGGGGTCCCTTAAATGAAGATGTCTTTGCTGCTCCCAACTATACAGAGGACAGAATCCTTCATCCCAGTGTTCAGGAAATCACTGAGCAAATATATCGGCTATTACTGCAGGTACAGCACATGCTTTAATTGTTACCCTTTTCATTTCCCACTGAAGGAAGGCTGTTCATCTTTGTGTGACCGTTTGTTTAGCTGTCTACTACTATATTGGAATTTTTGGCTACAATCCTGGAAACTACTTGCACTCAGGATTACTGGACAAGACTTACCCGCTGGAGCTTTAACATACTTCAGTATCTTAAGGATTTCATGCAGCTATGGAGTCCTCTCAAAAGACAAACCAAGCAACCAAAAAAAATCCAACCCCAAAAAACCAAACAGTAAAAAAAACCAATGTAAAATAATCTTTTTTTTCCTCACATAGAATTACTGGTGTGTTGAGATACGTGTGTAGATATAAATGTATATTTTGTTGTTGTTAACAGCCTGTACACAACAGTGGATCCAGTGGCTATGGAAGTCTAGGTAGCAATGGTTCACATGAGCACTTAATGAGTGTGGCATCCTCCAGTGACAGCACGGGAAATAATAATGAAGACACTCATAAGGAGAAGCCAGTAGGTTTGAGTTTTTCTTTTCAAGTATGTGGCACAAAACAAACTAGTCAAAGTGGGCATTTTTACCTTTTACATTAAGTTACAAATTAAGGATGGAAGAAAGCATAAAGAAAGTGTCATCTTTTTTGACACAGGAAAAACCTTTCTGTCTAAAGGAATAAACATTCCTGGTGTAAATGAAATCTCAGGATACTGAACACAGTTATAGGCATGAAAGTCAAGGTTTATAAAGAATTTAAACCTGTGTAATGTGTTTACTTAATCTAATGTCTGTTATATGTCATATGCTGTGTTTCCGGGAAAACCAGCTGGATATTTGAAAGCAGTTGTTTTGGAGGGGAAAGTCTGTAATTACTGTTTTCCCAAATGAAACTAAGAAGATTAAATGCAGTAATACCTCCATAATCAAGTGATAGCTTGACTCTGATAGCTTTTAATGTTGCAAAAATACGTCCCCTAATACGGAATGAAATAAATGGAATATAATAATCTTTTAGTTTGTTCTTAAAACTTTACTTTGCATTCAGTTCTGAAAGCCAAAATTTTTATTTACTGAGTTATACTGCTTATAGGCAAATTCCTCCAAATCTGATTTGCACTTCTGTGATCAGACTTTGCAGACTCCTGCTCTTGCCAAAGTGATCACTTCCTTGGCTTTCAGTTCTTAAACACTGGTGGCATAAGCAGATGAAGTCTTTAGATATTTTGTGTAACAGATAAATTATTACTTTTTGGAGCTGTGCAGAAAAGTAATGTTCCAAGAGATCTTGCTTTTGAGGGAAGTAGATACCTGGCTTTAGCAAGTGACAGTTTTTTTTCTGAAGTCATCTTTGTAATGTATCCTTATGTTTTCTGATCCAGAACATTCAACCATATTAAACAAAATACAGAGCAATTATGTACGAAAACCATACTTTAAATTTCTTCTTTCCAGTTCCCAAATTTCTCCTGCTGCACAATAAGATTGTATGCAATGCATGCAGATTTCTCCTGTGATAAAACTAATTGCAAGACTGAGATTAACTGAGATTAGATTTGGTCTACTGAGGAACTTCTGTGCATGATGTTTTAAGTCAAAATTGTGTAATAACTGTTTCTAATTAACTGCTTTCAGCAGGTTTGTCAATATGCCCGTAAGGTCAAGAATAAAGGACAGCATATTTTCACTGACAATAAAGCAAAACCAGACCATAAGAAAGAGTCTTTTGCAGGTAAGACATTAGAAAGTTAATTATAGTCTCTTGTGTTGGTGCCTTGTATAATATGACAGTAGGATTTTTTCTAGTTTAGTTCTAATCAAAAGACAGCATTTTTATCCAATAAAATTATATTGCTCTGTGTCTCTACCGTGTTCAGGAAAATTTTATGCTTGGCTATATCTGAACTGATAGTGGTATAACACACAGTGAAGGCAAGTCTTAAAGCTGGTGTTTTGGATTCCTTAAATGGGCATTGGAGTTGTCCTCATACTGAGTGTGTTTCAACTGTAATGATATCTGTTCTCCCAGAGCCACAGTATCTGTTCACTTTGGATCCGTAAGTTGGACCTAACTGAACTTTACATCTCCAAGAATCCACAAGGACAGGAAAATATTTTACACAATGTTCATCCATTAGTGCGCAAAGCTCTCGCTTTACAGTGGTTAATTTGTGACCTGGTCAGAAATATGCAGAAATGAAAATTTTTACTGTTACTTTTATGAGAATTTGCAGGGATTTAATGCCATAATTGCATAATAGCAGTATCTGTTTTCACAGAAAAACAAAATACTCCTGGTGGTCAGGTAAAAGATGTAGGGGGAAAGGATACTGCAGTAACAGCTGCTCCTAAGAATGTGACTCCTGAAGAGTTGGCTTGGAAAGAACAACCTGTATATTCATATCAACAGATCAGCTGTTTGGACAGTGTCATCAGGTAAGCAACTAGTGTGTAGATTACTCTTAACCTCTGGACTTAAGATTTGTATATCTAATATTGTTAAATCATTGTATTTTAGGTACTTGGAGAGCTGTAATGTGCCTGGTACAGCAAAAAGAAAATGTGAACCTTCAACAAGTGTTGAATCCCTGAGTTCTGGAGTTCATGAACAAAAAGCAGCTGAGAGTGCTATACAGCCCTTGGGAGGTATCTCTACATCACAGCTTTTTCTTGATTGGCCAGCAGTCAGTTGGGTGTTACTCTTTGCAGAATAATGAGTGTAGTTTAGGCATGACCTCATAGTTGTTTTCTCAGTGTTTGATGCTGGTGATCTTTTCTCATTAAAATCTTCCCTACAATCGGATTACTAAGGAATTGATGGAATATCTGGATTGTAGAGGCAATGAACTTATTTGTACTCTACAAAATACGGTAGGATTTTGAGTTTTAGGATTTGACATGGTCCCTTGTCTGAATAGGGAGCTAAATAAAGAATGTAACTCGTTAGTACAAGAATTGTAAGATTAATAAAGAACTAAAGGCAAATGAGAGATTTGTTCATTCAGCCATGTCATTATATGAGGCTGAAAGGAAAGTGTCTATGGAGTGCCTCAAAAATTGGTCTTGGGAATGATCTTGTCTATATTTACTTTTGATCAGCTTCAAAAAGAAGTTCTAATGCAGTTTTTAGAATGAAATTAGAAGCTATCAGTGTACATAGGAACAAAGTGTCCTGTAGAAGGAACTGAAATAATGTAATTTGGAGTCTCTGCAGTTCTAGTAGGCAGGATATGATGTGGGTCATGAGGTTTTTGTTGCACCAGTGTCTGAGAATGATGAAGTCACCAGCATAATCTAATCAGGAAAAAGGCAAATATTAGTTGTGAAATGTGTTATGGAAGTATTTCTCTGAAAGGAAGAGTGTTTAATACTGTTTTATGAGGCACTGGTATGACCTCTGCTGGATTACTGTGTGTAGCTTTCAGGGGAGAGAATTTTAACTAGGTGGGTGCTTAGAGCAAAACTGTCAGGGTAACCAGCTATGACAGAGATTAGTGTACAACACTATGAGTGCTGCATGGAACTTATTCTTAGGCTGGAAGAGGCTAGAAAGTGCCTTCCAAAATTGTGCCATGAAAGAACAATTAAGACCAAGAAAGAGCAAAATGTCCTTCACTGAAAAAGTTTGGTTTGGCTGTATGTGAGGATAGAGGATTGGATTTGGTTGCTCAGTAGTGTTCTATTCCTACAATATTCTTGGTGGAGTGTAGAAAGTAAAATGCTCATTTTCTGTCTTGTCAAGCACAGTTTGGCCTTTACTGTTTTGCAACCCTAGCAGCAGGTAACTGGAATTTTCTCTGATGTTCAGTAAACTGCAACTTTATTTCTTTAATAGATCCTGCTGTGTTGAAGGCACGTGGTAAATCAAGTGGTCCCCCAGTGGTTGGTGCTCACTTAACATCTTTGGCTTTACCTGGCAAGCCTGAAAGTGTTGTGTCTCTCACAAGTCAGTGCAGCTACAGTAGTACCATCGTTCATGTTGGAGACAAGAAAACACAACCTGAACTGGGTATGATTTTTGCTATAATTTTTCTGCAAAATGGCAATTGCTGGCAAGGTTAAACTTCAGATGTGAACAGCTAATATCTGCTTGTGACTTACATTTTCTTACAGCTGAAATGTTATTAGGGAAATGGAATAAGTAGGGATGGAATTTGTATCTTGAACTTGCAGTGAAATTATTACAGAATTGTAATAGCTTAAAAATTCATATCCAGAGCTTTTTTTTTTAACTTTATCTTGATGTATTTTTCCTTCTATTTCTGTAGAAATGATAGAAGATGGTCCGAGTGGAGCAGAAATCTTAGATGGCCAACCTCTTGCCCCTCCATCAAGCTCTGCACATATAAATCAAGAAAAGGAACCTTTTAAAAAACTGGGACTGACAAAGGAAGTCCTTGCAGTGCATACACAAAAAGAGGAGCAGAGCTTCTTGAATAAGTTTAAAGAAATCAAGAGATTTAATATTTTTCAGTCGCACTGCAATTACTACTTACAAGATAAACCAAAAGGACGACCTGGTGAACGTGGTATGGCAATAGTTTTTGCTATAAGACTTGCATTTATGTAGGAAGTGAATCGTGTTGGGAGGGCATTTCCATTTTTAGTTGTATTATGGGGCCACTGTGAACAGTAACAGCTGCATGATATTTTTAAAGTCCACAGAAAAATTCTTGCTAGAAGATGGAGAGTGGAATATAATTTTTAATGTAATAGTAGCCGATGTTTTGATTTTTATCTGTTCTCTGTACTATTACTGTCATGCATTTACTTTCAAGGGACAAAAAACATGTTTTAGCATGTTTGCTTTACTGTATCTATGCTTGTAATCCCTTGCTTTTCTTTTCCTTCTGTCTTTCCATCTGTCTTTTTTTCAGGTTTGTGGTTTGGTTTTGTTTTCAGCTCCTTTGTTTTCCTGTTTTTCCCCGTTCCACTGTGGTGAAACAATCTGGTAATTGGTTGCCTTTAAGTTATTAATGCAATCTGTGGGATGGAAATGGCAGACAAAAGCAGTAGTAGTGAGACTTTTTTGTTTATTAGGCCTAGGAACTCTGGATGGCATTTCAAGCATTGATCAGGCATTTCAAAAATGCTTGATGCTGATCTGATTTTGTTCCCATTTCAGTCTTGACTTGTCTTGGAACAGAAGTCAGACACTGCTAAGGAATTTTTTCATATTTTTACCTTTAATTTTTTATTTCAGTAGCTATGCAGGTCTTGGATAACTATTTTTTTATAACCTTTATTATAACTTCTTTGTGTTTTGCAGGTGGCCGTGGACAAAGAAATGCCACTTCTGGAGTGGATCAGCCTTGGAAGAAGAGTGGAAAGAACAGGAAATCAAAACGCATTAAGCCACAGGAGTCCTCAGACAGTACAACTTCTGGAGCTAAATTCCCCCATCGATTCCATCTCCAGGGTTTAAACACCACTGCTTGGTCACCATCAGAGACTTCACAAGCGAGCTACTCGGCAATGTCTTTTCCCACTGTCATGCCTGCATATTCACTTCCTGTTTTTCCAGCAGCGGGGACTGTGCCACCAGCTCCTGAAACTTCACTCTCTGGTTTTAATCAGTTGCCAGACTCTGGAAATACTTGCCCTATGCAACCCTCCCAGTTCTCTGCACCCTTCATGACCCCTGTCGTAGCTCTTGTGCTCCCCAACTATGTCTACCCCGAGATGAACAACAGTTTACCTCAAACACTTTACCACAATCAGCCCAACTTCCCTGCCCCTTCCGCTTTCTCCTCACAGACAGTATTTCCAGCACAGCCACCGTTTGCCACCCCCAGCCCTTTCCCACAGCAGGCATTTTTTCCAACACAGCCATTCCATTACAATCCACCAGCGGAGCCGGAAAAGGCTCCTGTCGCAGAGACACGAAATGAGCCGTCCCGCTCCTGCACTCCACAGTCAGTGGGTCCTCAGGACCACGCTTCACCACCTCTGTTCCAGTCAAGGTGCAGTTCTCCTCTGAACCTTCTACAGTTGGAAGAAACCACAAAAACTGCTGAAAGTGGAGCTCCTGCGGGTTTACATGGAGCTTTAAGTGAGGAAGGAGCCATAGGCAAAATTATGACAACTGATAACTGTAGTGGAAAGGAATCCTTACCAGTAAGTATGCGGAGGGATACCCATTTTCCTGTCTCTGATACATCATTTTCAGTCCTTTCACTCCCAGGACCTATTTTTTTGATGGCAGACAGTAGTTGGTCACTACAATGCCAGGAGCTGGACTCACAATTGTAGTTAGTAAATTCAAACTTCAGCAGAATAAAACATGAAACCCAATCATTAGAATAGTCTTAACCTTTAAAAATTAAATCCACCTTGTTGTTCTTCCAAAGTTGCACTAGGAAGCTTGGAAATACATTTTGAAACAGTTTTGTTCCACTTTTTTTAAAAAAAATTTTAAGAATATGGATAACCCCATTGAAAACCACTGAAACAGATTTTAAAATAATATGGGCACTTTATTTTTTGGCAAAAAGTTTTGGGCTAGGGAATTTGTTTAGAGGGGAAAAACAATCTACAAATGGTCTGAAAGAAGCTGATTTAAAATAAAATCACATCTTTGTTTACAAACAAGCAACCAAAGTGATGAAGAAGGGATCGTTATTTGCAGATCATTATTTTTGTTTTATTTGGTGCACTAAAAGTAAGCTGAATTATTTGGTAACCTCTATTTCCTGGCTCCTTCAAATTTGACAAATCAATTTAACAAATAACTTCAGATGTAGTAATATGTCTGTAAAGGTTTCTGTGGAGGAAATATGTAGACTAATACTTGTGCTTTCTAAAGGCACCATAGAGTATCTTTGTAAATGCTGAGTCACTGATGGGATGGAGCTGCAACTTGCATCTTTTCAGCTGCCTCCTTCCTTTGTTCAGGAATGTATTAAGTATAAAGCTGGTTCTTTCCATTTTTACGTTTTGCTAAGTTCTGTCAACCTTAATTTCTAATATTTAATCTTCAAACTGACTTGTGGGGAAGTTTTGCTTGCATTAAAATTCAGCACAGTTAAAGCTCTTTCCCTTAAAAATATACAGATAGATCATCTGACTAAGAAGCTTCCACCTGGGAATGTTTTCTTACTGCTCTCAGTGTGTGGTGAGATGGAACAGTGATGGACTGTTGATGCAAATCTCTTTGAGGCAGATTATAGTAGGAGCACCTGCCAGTGTATGTATTAGGTGGCTTGGATAAAGTCTGATTTGTCCAGGACAGTAGGTGCTGTCAAAACTGAACAGGAAATGCCTTTCTCACTTTTTTTTTTTCCCCCTGAGAGAACTTGGATTGGTCTTACTGAAAGAACCCTTGTCTGCCTATCAGTCCACTTTATTTTTCCTCAGTTGGTCTTGGCATATGTCTGTCTTGGTCATTGTCTATCTTCGAATCATTATGTAAGCATATTAGAATATGAAGTTAAATTGATTTATTACAAATCATTTACATTTAGTAATAAATAGCCGTGATTTTTGGGTTTTTGTTTGGTGGTTTTTTTTAATTTTATATTTTTTCTCCTTCTTATCACTAGGCTGAATCTCCAATGGATGCTCAAAACAGTGATGAACTCTCCATGTCCAGTGTCTTGCTTGACATTTTACTTCAAGAGGATGCATGTTCAGGCACTGGTTCAGCCTCTTCAGGGAGTGGTGTATCTGCAGCTGCCGAGTCTCTGGGCTCTGGATCCAATGGCTGTGACATGTCAGGGAGCAGAACAGGTAACACTGGCAGCCAGAACTCTCTTAGCATTCCAGCAGAATTGGAGTGTGAGGTGTCGCAAACACCAAGGACATCAAGTGAAAATCTTTGTCCTTACTCCATGTTGCATGGTTTATTCTTGATTTCTTTCTTATTCCAGTAAACAAATATTTTGCTGTTGATTTACAGGATAGAACCTTTTTTTAAGCATGTGTAAAATAGCTATTAAGATATTATGCAGATATGAAAAGACCATACTCCTTCATGTTTCCTTTCAGAGTTTTAAATTAAAGTTAGCTAATTATTCTGCTGAAATTTAGCGGAGACTGAGCTTGAGAATTTGAGTTTTAAAAATATTAATGCAGTTACTCAGGGGTGGAAGTTCCCTCCATTTAAAAAAGGAAATAGAAGAGTGGTTGTATTTTACTTTCAGTTCTCTTTAATCTCTATTTTCAAAAGCATTTGAATAACCTATGTATTTGACAATTTATAATAAGATTTTAAATCTCTGTTTACAGGTAGTAGTGAAACTAGTCATACCAGCAAATACTTTGGGAGCATTGATTCCTCAGAAAATCATCATAAAACCAAAATGAAGACAGAAATGGAAGAAAGTGAGCACTTCATTAAATATGTCCTTCAGGATCCTATATGGCTCTTGATGGCAAACACAGATGACACAGTTATGATGACTTACCAGATTCCTTCACGGTAATTCCAGTGTCATAGTCCTTCATAAATTCTATATATGTTGGGGGGAGCAGAAGGGAAGTTGAGCATGAATCTCTGTCTCAATAGAAGTAAATTGGTTTTAATGTTGAACTCACTGTCAAGAAAAATTCTCTCTTCCTTCATATCTTTTGCATACTACACAAGAAGCTCTTGAGAAGTCAAAATTGTTTGATTAGGCTTACCTGTATTTTTAGATCAATTTCCTGAGTTTGAATTAACTGTATATATTTTTGAAGGTATTTTATACTTATTGTAACCATTTGCCTAGAAATCCCTGAAGTCTAATTAACAGATCCTGGAGAATATGCTTAGATCTAGGGATGGTCTAGCACGGAAGATCTGCACTCCCTGACTGTTGTACCTGAGATGCCACATTTGGTGACATGCTACTCTTGGACTTGTGGATTTTTTTTCTGGGTTGTTAACTTCCATATGTTCATTCTTCTTCATAAATTCCCATTCAAACAGGACAAGGAAGTAGAAAGTAAAAATCATAAGGCTTCTAACAGAAAAAACTTTATTAAAAAATAAAAGGTTCCTGCTTCAATAGCAAAGAGCAGATATAGGGGGAGAAGGGGTATCAAGTCTTCAGATTTATTCTTTTTTATTTATTTTGTGGCTGCAGCGAATGGTATTTTGAAAGGAATAGGATGTTTCAGTTAAAACAGGCCTTTGAAAAAGAAGGAAAACAAGCTTTCAAAATACAGAAACACAGGCATGATGAGGAAAGGAGTAGATAATACATTGCAAGAACTTTAGCTTTTTTCCCTAGATTTAAAAATACTTTGACATTTCCCAGTTTTTGTAGCCTGAAGTGTTGACAACTATAGGTAGGAATTCCAGTAGACCGTAAGAATAGCAAAGCCTGCCAAAGTGTGACAGGTGATAACAAGAGTTAAGCTCATTGTCAGAGCATGATGCCCTAAAATTGAAGTGTAAAGCCAACCTGTTCTTGAGTATCCTGTAAGGAACAGAAATTGTACTGGGCATCTTGGAACTTGGTTTCCCCTGTCCTCTTTTATAGAGGAATGCAGCTTGTAAGTATTGGTATGCTGCATTTTTTTTTAAGTTTCTGAATTAAGGTAGGACATTTGGGGGGAGAGAGAACTTTGTCTGCTGAAACAGAACAGTGTTTTCTAAAGATTAGTTCATTCTTGATGACTTTCTTAAACATATCTTACAAGATCTGCTTTAATACCTCATGTGCATCTGGTGTCTGTTTTGGGTTGTCCTCCCACTGAAGGGGAACTTGGAACTCCTGCAGGAGCAGCAGAGGGAAGCTGGAATTCTTGGTAGTTTCACTGATGGTGCTGCCTGAGTAGCTCTGAGAAAACTGTTCTCACTGATGGGATTTGAAAAGATAGTGAGCCAACAGAGATGTGTTCAAGTTGTCTGCAAATGTAGAGAGCTGCTGAAATAACCACACTTAATTTTCTTCCAGCATAAGATTTGTAAGCGTGATGTTTTAGAACAAAAACAGTCATTAAAAAGATGTTAGTATTTGTATAACTTTATATAGACATGAAGCCCAGAAACTGCTGGAGCTCAATTTCTAAATCCCTTTTATTTCAGAGATTTGGAAACAGTTTTAAAAGAAGATAAGCAGAAATTAAAACAAATGCAGAAACTACAGCCAAAATTTACAGAAGACCAAAAAAGAGAGCTTATTGAAGTTCATCCATGGATCCAGCAGGGTGGGCTGCCAAAAACTGTTGCTAATTCCGTAAGTTTAATGAGTTCGTTACTGTTGCATGTATAATAGTGCTTAAATTATTAGCTGCCTATGTTAGAGTCTTTCTTTCCTAGTGAAAGCTTGAAATGAAAAAGTTTTCTGTTTAAAGCTTGAAATGAAAAAGCTTGCTGGGAAAGCTTGGTCAGTTAATGCAGAGAAAAGAACATTCAGACTTCCATGCAGTGGTTTTTAGCTTGATTTAATTTACCACAAGTCTTCTTTCCAATAAGGGAAATTGAAGGAGTGGTGAATACAGTACAAGAAATTTCCTTCCTCTTTCTCAATTTCTGTGTATCTGTTTGAAATCCTTTAGCAACACAGCCAGAAACTTCACTACATGAAAATCTCTATTTTGTGTGCAGAAATTTATGCTCGTTGTTTTCTAGAAAGTATGAAATGAATGGCAATGTACTGTTCCTTTTTTCTATCAGACTTCTCACTCAGGATCATCTCTTGCCTTGATTCCTCTAAGTAGATTAATGACTTGAAAGGCAAAAAAAAAAGAAAAACAACAAAATAGAACAGGTTTATTTGTTGTAACTGTACACTTGCTTTAGTCTCTTTAGCCCTGCAACTGAACATGAATGTGTTACTGCAGTGTTAGCAGTCAAATGGAGGAAAAGTTGCTTGGAAGGTGTCAGCATTATAAATGATCCATGACATAACTGCTTCCAGCAGACTTCTCAAGTGCTTTTATTGATTTACTGCATAGTATGAAATCATAGTGGGTGGAAAAGTTGTGGAGTAGAATATATCTGGTAGTTGCAGCACAGATGTAAAGGTTCTCTTGGACTTGGAATCCAGGATTGCATGCAAGAGGACTGTTGTTTGGAAAAGCTTTTTTTTGTTTTTTGGTTTTTTTTTTTACTTATCAGTGCATCTGTGTTGTTTTTTTTCTTTTTAGGAATGTATTTTTTGTGAGGACAATGTACAGAGCAATTTTTATACATCATATGATGAAGAAATCCATGAAATGGACCTTAATGAAATGATTGAAGACAGTGGAGAAAACAACTTGGTTTCCCTGAGTCAAGTCAGTGAAGAACAAACATAGCATTTGAGCCTGTTGTTTTGAAAACTGCTTCAAAACGACAGTGAAGGATCCATAAAGTTTTAATCTTGTATCCAGCAAGATGAATCCAGTTCATAAAAGCAAATGTTTTTTTCTTGCTCAAGAAGAGTCATTTGTGAATGAATCTCTTTTTAAATGGTGGCAATCTCTTCCCAGTAAGGACATTGTTGAAGATGGTATAGCTTTTCTTTAAAAGACTCATATTTTGCACTTATATGCCTCAAGTATTTCTTTATAAACTGTAGAAACTTTCATTGATGCCTACTGGTTTTTGTAGAGTGGGTTAATAAGTGCTGAAAATCTCCTTACGTACATACGGTTCTTCAAATCCCCTTTTGGTAATGATTCAGCATTAGAAATTGTTGAAGCAATTTTGCTTAGTGGCTCTTTAGCATTGTTCTTAATATTTGAAGTGGTCCAGCATCGTAGAAGAAATAACCTTCAAGGAAATCAATTCACACTTGCCCTTCTCATACCAGCTGATCCCATCCTCTTTGTTTGTCTCCTATAGTTTTGAATGTAGGAACTTTTTTTGTCTAAGAGAAATGTTGAGCTAATTTTCTGAGATGGTCTTGGGTTAAAATACATGTTGTTGTGTAAGTATAGAGGAGTGTTGACAACTTTGTAGCCTTCTGTTTGAATGGACACTGCAATACTATGAACTGTTTATTACCTTGAAGCATAATTTCTGAGAATTTATACTCAAGGAATCTTTATGCTTAAAGATTTTAAAAACCAAGACCACAGAGAATGACTGTGTGTGCTCCAGAGGCTGTTAAAGCTTGGGATAACATAAACCTTTCTTTCTGACCTGTTCTGTCAGGAGGTTGGCCATCAGTTGTTGTGATGTGGCAGAACAAACACCCAGTTCCTCCATGGCAAGGGAGGATTAGACTCATCTTGTCATTTGAAGGTGGTTCTTAAAAAAAGAAAGTGATTTTGAGAATAGTGTTGACTCACTCTATTTGAATTGCATAATCTCAAACTTAGCATGGCTGGAATCCTTTGCTGTTGAAGATTTAATTTTAATGCCTCTGAGATTGTATTGACTTGAATATTTGTACTTTATGTTCTTGTACTGTTTATATGTGTTGGATGTGGGAAGAGAACATGAAAGAACAACTTTAATATGTTGGTTAGTTAAAGGACATACAGTTGCAGTGTTGCTGGATGTCAGCTTTAAGTCTTGGGATGAAAAATGGAGAAATTCAATTGACTTTGACATGTTTGTCTTAAAATATTTTTCATGGGAAGCATTTCCTTTTTTATTAGGCTAATGTTTCTATTCACTGAAATTTAAGGTTATTTTTATTCTCTAAGAATGTTTCTCTTTGCATACAAAGAGGATGTAAAGTTAGATCTGACACTACCAAAACTACGGAGAAGTGACTGGTATTTGCTTAGTGGAAGAAATAATTTGTGTCAAATAATTAGTTAGTTATAAATTGGACAGTGTATTGAAGAAATTTGCACTGGAGACAGGTTCTGCAAATAGTGAAATGTGTGAACTTGTGAAACAAGTAGAATCACAATTTTAAAAAAAATAAGTATCTTAAATGTAGTGTGAAGCACTACCCAGCAAGATCTGAAGCCTGTCTTTAACAGCTTAGCAAGGTCAAACGTAAATATATGTAAATATAAACTGAATGAGAAATGTTCAAGTGTTGGTGTTCACGTCCGATGTATTAAATGTTTTAATCATAAACGGAACAGTGCAGCTATACCAACATACTAAATAGATTTTATTTTTACGTGGAAACATGAACAGTTTTAATTGGACCAGGGTTTGGGAAAAATAAAAGCTTTATATAAAAGGAGTGCATCATAATTATACAAATATTTTTCACAGTTTTCAACCACTTTGAACTTCCTTGCTTTAGCATGCTTTTCTTTTTTCATGTCTTTTTTATTTGTTCTCAGTTCTTTTATTATTTTTTCGATGACCATCTTGTAACCGTAACTTAGTGAAAGGAAGAGAAAAGTATATTTAGAGCATTTTGTGGATGTGCTTAATTATGAACTTAATCTTGCATCCTTAAAGTGTTTGCATTTACAGGGTGGTATTAAAATATTTTCCTGTAACTTTAAATCTACATGCCTCCATTTATAGATAAGATTCTGAAGCTGTAATTTTTCCAAATTGTTGTAAGATGATTTATTTGTGATGACACTTTGTCAACATGTCAACAATGTTTTCTGTACACTGTGCAATATATTTTGGTTTTGCCACTTGTGACTAATTTTTATGACTTTGCTTTTTAGAAAACTGGTAAATAAAACAGATATATTTTTAGTTGGTTTTTTTGTTCCTTGAGGCTTCTACTCCATGTAAGAAGAAAATATTTTTATTTTCCTGGTAGTATGTAAATTGGTATTTGAAACTGCAGAACTTGCAAGTTATGGTGTCAGCTGTTACTGTCCTGAAGTGAAATTGTTGCCAGCTTGTCTGACCGGTAAGTTTAGTGGTCAAATGGAAGATTGAATCCTTATATTGACTAGTTGTTCTGAAAACATGTGCAAATGTACTACCTGGAAGAGCATATGCAGGTGGGTTCTCTTTTTGTTCAAAACTGCCAGAAGACACGTTATCCTTTCTGCACTGTTTAAAGCTGTGGCCCCCTGTGCTTTTACATGGGTAGCTTAGGGACAGAGGATTCCACTTGTGCCCCTTGACTTTGCACAGCCTTCTGTTGAGGTGTGAAGTGTTGTGTCTTCTGAAGATTGCTGAAACTTTTCATGTTTTATTTTCTGATGAGTGGAGAAGGCAGGCAGCCTTGAAGATGTCTGTTTTCTCTTCCTGAGCAGTGGTGTTGCTCAGTGGGTTAGGCTGCCCCTCTAGGTTAGAAGGTACTGATGTGATGAGACCCTCTTTAGCCTTTTGTTTACATGACTGTATTTTGAGAGGTTTATGGAATTTTTTAAACAGAAAAAGGTAGTACAAACCCTAGTTTGGTCATGAGGGACCCAGATATTTCTGTAAAGTGCAAAATCAAGGTGTTTTGGTTCCAAAAAACAGTTCAGCACACAGGTGAATTGTCTTCACACCAAGGGTAGAGTTGTAGTGTTGTGTGCTCAGCTGCCAAGACATGCATTTTAAAGTGCAATTGTTTAAAACATCATCCAAGTCCCTTTGAAGTCCTCTGAATTGACTCTAAATATATGGGCAGTTCTGTGTATGTGAAGTCTGAAAACACTTTTGTCCTAACAGTTCCTTGGTTCTTCACTCAACTAAACATGCAGAGGAGAGATGTATTGATGAAGCACTGCCCAGAACTACAAACCTGAGTGTCATCCACACACACAGGTTATCTGCAACCCAGAAGGTATCGTGCTGGCATTTGGATGCAAGTTCTGATAATTGATGTATGACCTTGGGAGAACTGAAGTGCTGCTGATGTGATAAATTACCAGGTAATGTTTCACAGTTATTTCTGCTTTTCCTAATTTTTTTTGAAATGTAAATGTAGTTAAATGTGGCTTCAGGTATTCACTTACTCCTCCTTGGTGATGTGCCTACTGTCAGCACTCAAAGACAATGGCTTGCTTTGCACTGCAGAACTCTTGGGAGCAGTGTTTGTCAGTCTCTCCCACCTCAGTAGCCCCTAGATGTCACTGGTGTTCTGGGATTATATTTGGCAGTTTTGCCACCCCTGTTTGTCCTCTATTTAGCAGCTTGTATATTGGGGCTGTTGGGTTTGCTATGGCATTATCTGGTGTAAAGGAAAAGCTCTGTAGCTTGAATTTCAAATAAGATGGTGAGAAAACTCATCATGAAGAGCTGTGGTCACAATGATAGTGCCTGCAAACACAAACTCTGCTTGGAAAAGGGAAAGGGGACTGCTGAAAACATCAGATTTTAGTCCACTTGACAACTCTCATGAATTTGGAGGAGATAAAAAAAAAGCTGTCCTTACTGAGAATTAAGATGCTGATTGGTCTTTTATTACTATCAAGGATGGAAAGAACCTAATGCATTGATAAGCCTCTGACCCAAAGAACATGGTGAAATGAGCTGCATGCTTCTGGCAAAGTTTCGTTAATGGATGCCTTAAAAGGAGAATAATGTTTGTAGGTGTAACTTCTAGAAATTCCGGTGTTTACTTGCTCACAAGTGGTAGGAGCTTAGGAAATATATTCAGTCTGTTGAACAAGGTAATGAACAGCTCAGCAGCTCCTTTTGCTTGGTGGCTGTGGAAATGGACGTTATATTTAGGGGTGATACACAGGGTGTGTAGCAGCTTTGTCTGCATTTCACTGGAACAACTTTAAAAAAAAACCACAAAGAAATAAACAAACAAACAAAAAAACCCAAACCAAACAACGTCTCCAGGCTTTCTAAGTGGAAAGTAGTATAAGATAGGGTAGAAACTGAGACAACTGACCTGTTAATCATTGTTATTTCTCTTTGTATCTGCTAAAGAAAACATGAGCTCTATCAGGCTGCTATGTGCAGTAGCAGTGTGTGTGAATTCTACTGTATTTCTGGCTCTGGAGTGTATCTAGTGGTTAGATACAGATAGAGAAGCTGCTGTGGCAGCACATGAATAGTGTTTAACCTTAGCAGACAATACAAAGTATGAAAACACCATTCAGGCAGAGAAAACGCTTTTAGCTAAAGGACATGTGAAAGGAGCCTGATGTCCTGAGGCAGGGGCTGTGGTGTGACTGATGGGTGTCCAGTGGTGGGTACAATGGTGTCTGTGTAGTACAGAAAGGGGAAATGAGCAGAGAGCCAGATCTCAAGCACCTGCTGCAGCTGGGGTAGGTGGTTTGCTGGGGCAGCCACTGCATCCCCAGCCTTAGAGGGATGTACTGCATTGCACTTAGTTTGTTTTAGCTGGATAAAAGGAGACAAATCTAAGGATGGGTTAAAATTTCCTGATTTTCCAGGGTCTGTCAAGGTGTTCTTCTCTTTCTGTAGTCTGTGTATTAATGCAGTAAAACAGGATGTAGTGAATTAATTGCTCTTTTTAAATTGTTATAGTGGTCTAAAAGTAAACTGTGTTGCTGTTGCACTGTCCACTTCAAAGATTCTACTTCTGTCCAAGAACTTATTGGATATGCTTTTTTAAAAAAAAAAAAATCTTTATCTGTTGCTTATGTAAGGTAAGGTCTACTGCTTTTCCTTCTGTTGTCACCAGCTGACTCCCTTTGAAATTTCCTGTGGCCCTTTTGCATTGGGTGCTGGATAAACTTAGCAAATGCACTTCTCTAGTTGGCTTTAATTTGCTTAGCTGTAGGAAGCAGAAGAAGGTTGAGTGGGTGGCCTGTGTTTCCCTCTGCTCTGATTTAGAGTGGCTCAGTTCTGTGGGGCCTGGCAAGGTGGACTTGGTTCTTTCAACTTCCCAGCTCAGTGATGTCCTGCACAGGCATTTATACTAATGATTAAATCTGAACCATCTGTCCATTCTGTTTGCTGTGACTTGTGCTACTCCTGAGTGCATCTCTCCAGCTTTTAAGTGTTTGCAGTTTTGTTGGGAGTATATAAAAACTGAAGCCAACACTTAAATTGGGCTGAGGGCTTTTTTTGGTGCTTGTGTTAATAAGCTTCTCTCACTTCCTTTAACTTTCAGTTTCAATTTTGAATACTTGATAGATCTGTCCTCACATATTTTGGAAAACTGTTTTTTCATAGTTGAGTTGCATTTCTAAATTTGGCAAAACCAGAGGTTTATGATGTAAAGATTAATTAGATTGCAGGCTAAGTTTGTGCTAAGCAGTTAGTTAGGAGTGGCAGTACCTGCAATGCAGAGGTACTGTTGCTTCTAGAATCCAAAAATATGTAGTTTGTTTCTGCAGCAATACAGAATTCTAAGGAATAAAATCATGTTACTTTTCTCTTGCAAGGACAGGACATGTGTAATTTACTATACCAACAAGTATAATTTAGTATCAGATGGTATGTAAGTGAACTGCATTGTATTTTTCATTGTGCAGTGTAGTGGCTCTCTGCTAGAGTAGTTTCTCTTCCTGTTTGGGCTAAATGACATTTCAATTTAATAAAAAAAAATTCTCTCCAGGAAATAATGGAATTGAAGAAAAATATATATGTGCATCAGGGCATGGAAAACCCCAAAATGTCCTGAAATGGCTCTGGCTGTGGGATGATCCCTGGAATGGCATGGCAGGCTCAGTAACAGCCCCAGCCCTCGAACTGAGCTCCACAAGCTGCTCCGTCTGTGCCTTCAGGCCCTTGCACAGAGACTCAGTTACCAGCCTGGGGCCAAAGGCGGCATCTTATGTACTGGAATTTGTGCATTTAAAAAGCATATGGTGTGACACAATGCAGAAGGCAGTGACAATGGGGAGAATGTGGCCATCAGGAGTTATTTCCAGGGTCTATATGCAGTTGTCTTTACAAGCCTCCTCCTTTTTTGTGTTCTGAAGAGCTGCTGCCTGCTGGTGAATAGGGAAGACTTTGTCTCAGCTGCTCAGAGCGGGCCAGGAGGGAAGGGGAGGATGGGGAGGAGAGCCTTCTGTTCAGATCTGATTTACAAGGAGATGCCGGCCTCTTCCTAAACTCCACCTCCCTGGGAGCGGCTGAAGGCTGGAAGACTTTTTGTTCACTGTTACCTTTTGCCTCCACTCCTTTTAGAGACGAATCCAAATATAAATATATTTGTTTTAGAATTGTGGTGAAATCTGTTACAGCCAAAGTCATGCGGCAATACTGAAGGATTCCCTCATCATGTAAAGAACTAGGAAATTCTTCCATTGTCCTTAGACTCCATTGCCTTATACCATACAGCCCCATTCAATAAAGGCTTCTAAAGCTTTGGATGTTGACACGCAGTGAATTTAATATTTTAATAATAATTACCTTGCATTACATTGCAGTGAATTTACATGAGATCAGCTGTAAAGACCTGATTATGAACGCACATATGTACAACATTGATTTATTAGTCCTACTAGTTGCCCTAAAATCCTTTCCCTGTATGTGCTCTGCCATTATGAGGTGATGCTTCAGTCTTAAATTTAGAGTTTTCAGGAATTTCTGGCTTGGATTTTTGAGGAAAATCTGTTTGCTTTTTGGGGTTTCTTTTGTCAGATAGTCTATTAGCTAGCAAATTAGCAAAATAAAAAAGGTGTCTGTGTCCTGATCCGAGTAAACCATTTATGGTCTTGAATCAATTTCATGGCAGAGTGATGTAAACTGAATCGGACTGCATACTGTAAATGATTTCACTTACTGACAGAATTAGCTTGATAAAGTGATATTTGACTGCCTTTGCCACCTAATGTAGTGTTCATTGGCCTGTGAAGTTTATAGTGTTAACTTTTACTCGTTAC